TATTATTATTATTGCAGTGATAATGATATAAATACAAATAATAATACTCATAATAACAAGAAGCAGAAGAAGAAAAAGAAGAAGGAGAAGAGTAGTAATACTAGTAGTAATAGAAGTAGTTTATTTCATTTATTTAGTGCAATTTTCATAGGTGTGTTCAAATGAGCTTTCTATTGACACTATCACCAGATAAGTGAATTTTGAAGTGTAATAGATGACACAGAAAGGTTGATATTTGCGGATAAGTTTAGGATTTTATAAGACAGTAGCAATTACACCATTTATCCATAACCCCCACCCCATCCCCCTACCCCTCCTTACTTAATAGCGGTTTAAAAATCCGTGTTACGCTCTTTTGCAATAAGACATGTTCGTACAATCTCCATCTATAAGAGTAGTCCGTTGACCTAATGACATAAAGCTTTAAAGCTTCATATCGACTTCACCCACTACATAATGCAAATATCTGCCTTCTATCTACCTACAGGCGTAGAAGTCTAACAGCATGACATGGTTATTTGGATTACAAACTAAAATGGAAGAGATGAAATGAGACATAGTTTGTAAAACGAAGATTGTTCTTGAAAACCTGAAAGCTTATTCGATGCATGTCCAACATAGCAACAAGTAATACATGCAGACTGGATTCCAAGTATTGAAGTTCCTGTATTAATAAAAGGTTAGTGGAATAACTCTACAACTAGGTTCCTGGGAAAGAACCATAAACTTAAATTTGTTAGTAACCGGTCTCTTGATTGAAAACAAAAGAGTGTCATGTAACTGGAAGAGCTAAATGTGTAACTACAAACTCACCTGCGAGAAGAATGACCAGGGTTAACGAGAATAATATGTGATGAGAAGTCTCCATTATAATCCACTGTATTCAGTCCTTTCTCATCTTGTCAAATCCTAGAAAATGTTCCTTGCAATATAATTCGATTGTCATATGTGGTATCGAAGGTTTTGACAGAACACTGCCAAGATTAAGTTTCATTGCACAGAAACAATGTCCTCAACCAAGACAAACCACAAATATCACTATACAGAATCTCAAAGAGTACGAAAGTGAAAGTTCCATGCAGCATTTGTCACTGTCATTAATATATAGTTATTTTAGTTTGTTGTGTGTGTTTGACTGTATAATTATGTTTGAGCGCTATTTTATGTATATTATATCCCTATACTATGTAGCGGCCCTTAACAAGCTAAGCCACCAATTAAAAGACAGTATGATTTACGTAGCAAGAACACGCTTTTATAATCACTGTATGAAAATAGAATCACATGTAGGTTAGGCCTAGCATATAATCGTATCCAACGTATATCGGTTATATTACAATTGAGGAACTGTGATGATGTTAGTAATGATGACGAGGCGACCCATAGAGGAGGACGTTCGCCCCCCCCCCCCCCTTCCCCCTTCATGAAATATGTGTAGAAGGTGATCGTCCTCAAGGAGGGGGCAGCATTTCTCATCGGAATGTGATCCATAAACGTTCAGTCAAGAAAATCAGTCATTGGAGGGCTTTAATTATTCGGGGTTATGGGAGGGGGTGGGGCTATCATCCAAAATTATCTTTTTTCATACTATGATCATGGTGACTATGTTACATGAGTTTTGGACTAAAAATGATTACCTGATCTGCTAACTATTAGGTTAAAAAAGTGGCGGTATTTTTTTGGCCGGAAATCTGTCCCTCTCCCTCCCGGCCACTTCAGGTTTGTAACATTACAATCCCTCCCCTTCCCTAGTCAGTACAATAAATGGCAAATTCCTGCTTCACTGTACATTTATAAGGTCTTTCTCTAAAGGGATATTGATTCCTAACATCTATTTAAAAAACAATACTCTCTTTTTTCAAAATATAGATCGGCCAATATTTAGAGACTATAAGACAAAACTGATTGTTAACAATTTAAAAATTACAATTACAATTTCAAAAATTGTTAACAATTACGAAACTATGAAAGTTTACTAACAGACCCCCCCCCCCCCCCCTCCCTCCACCTAACGAAAAACAAATCTTTATAGGAAATTAGATAAATTGGCATTTCCTTCTGTATTTACATAGGTTTTCAAGCTTTCTATCAGAGAAATCTGGACAATGTGCATACATACGCAAATATAACATACATACACATACACACACCACAACACACGAAACTTTTTCCACACACCGACACACGCATAACCTACCTGTACACACACAAACACACGCACACACACACATTATGGAGCAGCTTGCACTACATTTTTTGATAGAGTACTTTTATTACCAATATTGTACTAACATAATTTCGCCGAGGAAACTGAAATTTGATTGAAAATCAACCGGAAAACATCCCTTTTTGTATCAATAATTATATGCCTTAAAACTTTACTACTATTTCTGAAACATTTTCTCATCTATTTCAAATATTAGAAAAGAATCATTTTATAGATATCGCCTAAATCTGATCGTATAAAAATGCAAGGAAAAAAAAAGAACACATAACAATTATACTAAAACACTCCATGATATGGCAGATTAAAACTTTAGTTGTCTTCACCGATAAAAATAACATATAAACAGGCCAAGCAACTTGCAGGCACTAATTGTTAAAAGCGAAAGGGCTTTAACGAGGATTACTCTGGAGGAATGCTCCAAATGTTAACAATTGTTTGAGATAAAAATGCAAATTTTGTTTTTGTCATGTTAAGATCGCAAAGAATTTCAAAAAATTAAAAGTAGGGCCATTTCAATATCTCATTGTACTACCTGTAATGTTAGCACAACGCGTTAGTTAGACTCTAGAGGTTATTGAAATTTGCCTTTCGGTTAATTTATCTCAAGTCTTGAGGTTTTGTGATCCCCTATCAGATAACTCTCAATTGAGGCCTGAAAAATACAATATTATCATAAAATTATCACAAAATTAGGATTTCAAAAATGTTATACAAGGTTCAATTCTTCCATGTCTTAGGCGTGCAATAGCGTATTTGTGGAATTGATAAACAAATTCCATAAATACATAACTGAAACGCAGATGCTTTTCGTGTTACAGCCCATTTTCTCAAGAACATGTAGAAGCCGTTTTTTGAATAACTTACATTAACAAAAATTGTCACATTGTTCGTCAGATTTTGTAGTAACATTATTGTATAAAAGGAAAAAAGAAGAACCGAAGATTGACTTTGTCATTATTTGCCTATCATTGTTAATATGCTTATCACACTCGGAGATGAATTGGGCAATTTTAAGCTATCATAAATTCATATCACTATTAATATATATAAGGCATGGATTATTAGTTAAACTATACACTTGTGTTTTTTTTTATAGATATACAAAAATATTCACAGGAATTAATGCTCTTTTTATTCCTTACACAATAAACATTTCGCTTGATCCTGAAGTTGAAAGGATAGTTACTCGATTATCTAAGTAACCTAAGTAACTTGACATGTTTGTAGTGCAATTTATTTAAAGTGTGTGTTGCGGCCATGGTAACAATAATTTTCTCTAAAATAGATACCTCAACCTGTTAAAGTACCCCTCAATTTGTACCTATATCATGCATGCAAATGCATACAAATATTATGTTTTCCCTATAGTTAAGAATTGAACGATGGTTACATGTTACATACATATAAACATTTATTTTTAAATATATATCGCAAAATCGAATTAAATATTGCTCATTGCCTTTTACGTTTTAGTTTTAACACTTTAGGCAAAACAGACAAACAACATTTTAAATAAAATGCATTTACGTAAAGGTTAATTAATGAAGAGGTGCGTTTTTAAGTTCTGAATAACAGATTCAATCGAAAAAGAAGTGCGGACAAAAGATAAGAAAATGAATACCACGAGTTGAGTTGAAACGTGGTAATCAAAGGAGTACAAAATCATGTTCGGACTATAATCCCAAAATATTATAGGTAACAATGCAAGATTTCATCATTAACTAAGGTCACATTAAGGTCATCTCTTTTTTCTGTTGAAAGAGAGAACAAAACTTTGCACATCTTCCCCAGGTAAAATCCAAGTAGCCTTAAGTAACCTTACATACACCACTGTGACAAACCAAATGTGCTCTGGAGTGATGTAAGCTAACCCATCCTCATTTTTACGGGAAGTCCTTTTTTATCGCTTGCATAGTCTAATACTCTTTTCACACTGGTTTTGCTTAACCCCGTACTTTGCTTAGCCCCGTACTATCCTTAACCCCGGACTATTTTTTTGGCTTTTCACACACGCTGTTTTTAGTCCCGTACTAGCACCTATACCGGAATAAGAAAATTCCCGCTGTTCTCACTGCATTTCGTTAACCCCGGATATCATGAATGTTATGATTGGACATACTTCGCATCTGGCCAGCTGCGATACGCTCCATTGCGTAGTACCGGACTATTTTTCGTTTCTGTTCTCATTCATTTGCTTAGCACCGCAATTGCGGGGTTAGCAGGAGTTAGCACCACAATTGCGGAGTTAGCCCTGCTATTTTGCAGGGTTACTTAACCCCGTACTATAGGTGTGGTTAGCCAACTTTAGCCCACTTTGGTAAAAACCAGTCTGAACAGAAAGTGGAATAGGCTTAACCCCGTACTATAGGTGGGGCTAAGACCCCCCCCCCCCCCTTAACCCCACCTATAGTACGGGGTTAAGCAAAGTATTGCCAGTGTGAAAACAGTATAAGACGCGATGGGCCGTATACCCCCTTGAGCCTTGCCACCTCCACTTCCCTTTGAATAGGTGTATATTCTGGATACTTGGATTGTTTCTTAGGCGAAAGTGATGTAAAGTAGCCCATCCCAAGTATGTATTGGAAGTCTTTTGTCGTCATCGGCATAGTCATAGTCGGCCCTAGTTTTTTCTTCTTTACCCTTGCCGTGGCTTCGGATTCAAAGGAAGCGTAGTCGGTGTCCCTTTCCCTTCGGGGTAGATGTATGGAGGATTACTTCTGTCATAGGCAAGATTGCTGTAAACTAACCGATCGTCATCTATTGGCTGAAAATCCTACGTCATCGTCGAGGTGGTTGGTGAGTCGTCCGTCTCCTTAAGCCTGTCCATGGCATTGAAGTTGATGGATGCGTAGACAGTGCCTCCGCTGCTCGGAATAGGCGCAGTTTTTCGAGGATTGCTGGTGCCATGTGAGATGGCGATATAAACCAACCCATCGTCATCCACTTGCTGTGACTCAACTGTTGCCGTGGTGGTTGTAGCAATGCTCTGTTCCTCCTTGCGTCTGGACGTTGCATCATGGTCCAGAGACGCATAGACGGTATGGGTTTCTTCGGTGCGAGCAGGGCGGATGGGTTGGGGAGGACGTGTGTTTTCATGCGACACGTCGATGTACACTAATTCATCATCGTCCTCCTGAATGTGTGCAGACAATTTAAAGAAAAGTCAATTAGCAGTATAAAGGATATTATTGATTGCCACTCAGATTTGTCAACGCATTAGTAACATTTTGCCTATTCATTCTCTACATGCCCTAATTCGAGAAGAATTCGTGTAGACGACACCATAAGCAGAGCGATATTAAAAAAGGAAAATGATATTTTACTTATGTAAAAGTTAACTTTATGCAAATATATTTATAATAGAAATTATATACCTCACTTAAGTAATCCAGCCATCTGATTGGTCGAAATTGCATTCATAAACTTCAACTGTTCCTGTAAAATTCCCGGTAACCATGCTTAAAACATTTAATATTTTTAATAACCATGGTTATTAAAAAAATAGGTCAGTCTCCATGGTTACCCCATAGGTTTACATGTTAAAAAATGGTTTGAGCGATGGAGGATACCGTATGTGTGCGAATAATTGGTCGGTAATTTCAATACAATTGAATCTCGATCGATCTTACCGACAATTTTATCTTGCATTGTTGACATGAAGACGAAAATAAACTTCCAAAAACAAAAAAACAACATCTGCCGATAGATCTTGATCTAAGTTCGTGCCAATATGCATTGCAAAAGTAAAAGAAGAGTCCGTATATGGAGCTTTTACGAAGCATTCATCACACGCGAAGCCGGTTTCAATCCATTTTAATGTATATATCGTACAAAACTGCCAAGCATGTTGATAGCGCGCGATGGCCGAGAGGTCTGAGGCGCTGACTTTAGATACATCGCCTTTTGTACGCAAGAGTTCGAATTTCATCTTCGCCAAAAAAAAAAAGTATTTTTTATTTTTTATTTTTTAGTCTATTTTTTTTCGGCATATAAAAGTATTAATGACTGCTTTAATATTCGAGAAATAGTTGTTTTTATACGCTCTCGGGAAGGTTACAATTGGGCTATTCCCCTCGGCACGCCTCGGGTAATAGCACAATTCTAACCTTCCCTTGAGCGTATAAAAACAACTATTTCTCTCAAAGCAGTCATTAATACTATACCATTGCTCTTCCCTTCATGAGATAGTAACAGGTAAAAAGAACCGTATTGAGTGATACATACCCTTTGTGTACGGATCGGTTGACCGGGAGTTTCTGTTTCTGGTTCATCTGTGGTGAGGGAGGAGATGTATCGGAGTTGAAATTTAACGAATGCAAGTTTTATATAGGTACCGGATATCTTTATATTAATGATGTTTATATTATTGATGCTAATAACTTTACCTTTGCTTGAACAAATCCCTTATTATGTGTATTTAAACGTGATGGAGGAAAACATAACTTTATAAACAAACTACGTAATTGCTTCAATTTATACTGGAATCTTTACAAAAAGTAAAAGTAAAAAAAATCTTTTCACAATTTTTCCAGGGGTTAGTTTATTAACTTGTACTGATCGATTTAAAGATAAAGATCTGACTATCTTGACGTTACAATGGCAATAGGGACTCTCGGACAAATTAGGGAAAAAAGTGGAATTCTACCTTTGTTTTTCTTCAAACAGCAAGATACACCAAAGACACGAACAGCGACGATTAAAGGTATCATGATAAAACAAGCACCAGCCAACAATCCAATTCCAACTGTTACTATGAAGCTGCCTGCCATATTTGTTGTCTCCAAAGGTATGTGTTCTAAAAAAGAAAAGAAAAATAAAGGAAGAGTAAATACTGCTTCAAAATCTGTAGTTCTTCATTACTTGTAAGTTTCTTTTACTTGTTTTGGTAATCCTGTTATATGTCGTTATTATCCATTATTTCAGAATACAGGTTTGTAATCATGGCTCTCTTGAGATTGTGATCTTGATAAAAGCAGTATTCCATGATAGCACACGAAGCAATTTCGTAGCCCATTTTCAATTTTTCTTTACATAAAGATGTCGGAAACACTATTGCCTAGGCTGAGAGAGGTTTAATGATTGCGGTAACTTTTTTCTTTCATGAAAAGTCTCTGCACGCTTAAGTTGGTCTATATGAATTTAAGAGCTCTCCTTCTGGTCACTGCTGACGAACAATGAATTTAAAATATCCACGTATTAAAACGGAAAAATAAAACTTAATCATTCTATTGAATGTGTGGTTTGTTTCAATATTAAAAAAAGACAATTATTATTTCTGGAAATCCGGACTACAAACTGATAATCAAATGTATATTTTTTAAAAAGAATTAATCTTACGTGCTGTTGATGCCACTGTTTCTTGGGTACTACTACTTCCAGCGTCGTTAATTGCCCAGAGAACCAAACGATACCATGTGGATGAGTTCAGTCCTCTTAATTGATGATTGGTGGTATTTAAGTGGCTGACAATGCCACAGTCCTGGTCCTTCACTGCGTTGTCATGGGTACAGTACTTGAGCGTAAATGTCTGCAAGCTGCCGCCATCGAATCCGGGTTGCCAAGCAACGAAGAGAGATGACGATGTCGTCTGACTTTGGTTTACCTCGAAACCAAAAGGTGGATCTGGGTCTGTAGGAGTTCAATACAAAAACTTGTTTGCCATTTGTTTACCATTAAAAACTGTGAAACAAGCATAATATTATTGTTGATAAGTGATTAAAAGGGGGGTCTTGAGACTTTAATACAGATATCCAAAGAAGTGAAAACACACATTAATCGTGGAGGCTTGCTCCCGAGTCGAGGAGAACGTGCCTGATATAGGACTGTCACCAGTTGTGGCGTATGTTAGAGGAAGATTGAACAGCGCCGTACTAGAGCTAAGATCAGGACGTGTAGATTGATTTATTTGATGGGACCCAGGAATGAAAACCTGGATAAGTCAGGATCACAGGATCATAAGTAATATCACTTAACATAAAACTGTGTTGAATGAGAATGTACCTAACAACATTTCAAAAACAAAACTATATTTTCATCGTTCGTAATAAACACTTTAACTGACAATCGTTTAAATGTTTATCAAGAACATATCGTCGATGAAGTTAAAAGTCTGCAAATTTGTTGCAGGCTTACAAAGTATCCTTCGAGTTATACATGTATTATATTGTTTCATTTCAATATTATCATCATCATATTATATACAGGAGCGTAATATCGATTTTAAATTACTTCAGGATTATGCATTAACATCAGATACATGACAAGTGTACTTACGGGAATATGTAAAGTTGATGACTGCAATGCCTTCACCATAATCTGTGTTAGCCAAGCATTCATAATTGCCATTATCAATCTCCTGTACATCGCTGATAATCAGCATACTCGAAGTTACAGTCTCATCATCTTGGGCCGAGCTGTGAACGATCAAATACCGCGTTCCGTTGTCCAAACTTGTTTCGTTGTAAACCCACTGAAAGATATAAGCTGGGGGTCTGGCACGAGAAACACATGTGAATGTTGCCACGACGCTTCCATTAGAAGTTATATGCCGCCGAATATGAGATTGGATGATGACGGGCGAATCTGCATATTGAAAATAAGGGAAAGAGAGAGATGGTAAGGGAGTTGTGTTTGTTCCTGTGTTTTTGCGTGTGTAAGAAAAAGACATTGAGGGAGAGAGTGGGAGAAAGGGAAGTAGTGATGTGTGTTTGTGATTAGTGGGCGTTTTAGTGTGTGTGACAGAGAGAGAGAGAGAGGAGGGGAGAGAACGAGACGAGTTTGTAACAGCAAATAGTGTAAAAAGAGATATATAGCAGTAGAAAATGATATAAGAATAGGTACACGCCATTTAGAGATGTCAGAAGAAGACAAAAAATTAAGATCTCGAATAAACTACAATTATTATTGCCAAAGGTATACCGTTTCATAACGATCTTAGCCATTTTATTGACGGCAAGATTACTCATCATCCCTAATACCATATTTAATTATTATCCGTTCATTCAACGCATAATCTCCTGTCAAAACAATTAAAAATATATATACATAATAATAATAATCATGTTCCGATAATTTTATTAAACATTGTGTGTTGGAGAGGAGTTAAACTTACAGGATATATAGAGAGTTTCCGTAACATTCCTTGACCAGGTAGGATGAAGTGCCGGTTGAATGATTACGCAGACAATTGCTTTGTCGTGATCGTCCTGCGCCGGCGTGAAAGACAGGTTACTTGTAGCTCCGATGCGGCCACCCGGTTGTGCTGTGACCTCAAGTGTAGATTCTTTGGTGACATTCTTAGATCCAAGGAGCCAGTGAACTAGAGGTGCAGGATATCCGTTGTTGGAAGTACATGTTACTTTTGCAGGTACCCCTGCCTGTAGTGCATGGGTGCCATTCAGTTCGGGAGGATTTGGTGGTCCTTGGAAGTGAAAGATATTTAGATGATATATTTGAGATACATATATTTTTAGAGAAACAAAAATCTATTTAGCAATAGTACGAAGATGACTTCGATTATATGCGTACCTTTCATTTCAGGAAGATCTGATGGTGCTTTAAAAGTTAAGATGTTAGAGTGGAATAATTGAGATAAAGATTTAAAATAAAATGCACTTTTAAGTTCTAAAATATAATGACAGCAAATTCGTTACTCCTCTTGGTTGTGTCTTGGTAGTCGCTTTACGTTTCTCCAGAGAATATTCCGGTCTGTCTTTTGCTCTTTAAATGTGTTATGGTTTGGAAAGGCCTTAATGCATTACAAGCAGTGTATATTCAATAAAATATATCACACCTATGAATAGGTTCAACTCTTTCATTGTAAGAAAATTGACAAGACGGCATAAGATACCAGTATCACGTACCATAAACAAGCAACAACACTTTTACGTAACGCCGGCTCGTTCTAAAACTTTCAAGGCAGCGGAAAGTCTGATTGTGATGGCGTCTCTCTGGAAAGATCTGAAGGGTATCCTCGGTGTCGTATAAGCTCGCATCGTCAGGATTAGGGGTGACAGAAGAAGTGGAATTAACAGAGCTGTCCGCGGTACCAAGCGTCCACGAGACATTAGCTTCTGGGCGAGATCCAGAGCTTTTGCAAGTGATTGGTGTCAGAGTATTCTGAAAGACGATGACTTTCTGGGTGCCATTTCCGTCCTCTATGATGGGTCCTGATGGTTTGGAGATCTCCAGAGAAGTTGGTGGTGCTACATGCAGAAATACAGTGGGATGGGACAAGTAGGTTTTGGTGTTGTTTGTGTTTTTGGTATTGTTTCTTTCATTTTTTGAAATGTTAAGGTGTAGTCTCGGGCAGTAGGACGAAGGTATATTATTTCAAGTATAAATGACTGAACTTGCCTTTTTCCAGGAGCGGTTCTAGAAGTATAATTTTGGGAGGCTTTGGCGTTTTTGCACTCATTTTCTACATGTGCCCATCGATTTTATTTTTGTTCACGAAGAACTTGAAGAAATATTCCGCCTCTGCTTATTTCATTAAACGAAACCGTTCGAAGTACCTGTCACATCTATTTCGAGAGCCACATACCTTGATGTGAGAAAAAAAAAATCAAAATTGTCTGTACCTACAAATTATTATTATTATTATTGATCGGCAGTATCACCAATAATTATGCCATAAGATTACAGAAAAAAATCTTTTTTAATTGTTGTATTTTTATTTCTCCATAACTTATAATATCTACGAAAACTAACCGTGGACATCAAGACGAACCGCAGTTTCAAGAACCCTTTGAAGTTCAGGATGCGAGACCTGACAATGAAGACTCACTCCATGGTCACCCCTGGATGGTTTCACCCTGGCATTTCGCAATGACACATAGGAACCATCTCTTGCCACATTGACCTGTTTCCCAAGCGACACTTGAAGAGTATCCGGAATGATCCAGTCTAGCGTTGCAGGAGGTCTAGCGCCATGAACTATGCAGGTGGCTTCTGTCTCTGTACCCGCAGTCGTGGTTAGAACCTGGTCGCCAAGGATGGACACTTCGTATGGAGGAGCTAAAAGATGATTACATATATTTGTATTGCCAAATGCTCTGTATTTTAATTGAATATTTCAAGAGGAAACATGTAAAAAGAAACACATAATTATACAATTGTTTCAAACAAACAGGATGATCACACAATGGACGAATGCAAAGAATGTGTATCCCTATGTAAGTTTGGACACTAGGTATATATTGTTTCGAGTATGGTTTATAATAATATTGCTTATACAGAAATTATATAGGTGTAGTTCAATTAGCAAAAATAAGAACTTTTTATGAAATGAGGGTTTACGTCAATAACATGACCAACGAATAAGGAACAAATATGAGACATTTGAATTTGATCATTGCAACCTATATCTTGTCGAAAATAGAAAGATTGTATAAAGACATGTAGCCAGAGATTTAAAAGAAAAACGTTTATTTAATATTGGAAGGTAACATTACAAAAATGAAAGTATGATGATGACATAGAAATAATATATATGCCTCTATATTTAAAATAAAATATAACAAACCCAATTAATGTTCAAAAGACTCCCCGAATTTACCAAATCAAATGAATGTTTGATCGCCTACCTTGCTCAAGTACTACCACCGTGAAAGAAGCATCACCATCTCCACCTTCAGTTTGCACGAAGCATTGGTAATTCCCGCTGTCTTCTGCTGTCATATTCCTGATGGTTAGATTTATAGTACTACCATTGACCACCAAATCGAATTTCTGAGACCTTGGAACATTTTCCATGCAGGAACCTTTCTTGCAGGTAAGTGATGCAAGCAAGGAGCCACTTCCATCTTGCCATACAACACGATTGATGTCCATGGGTGAAAAGCTGCAACCGAGAGTCTTATTCCCTCCATCAACGGGGATGGTATCCGCTGTTACTATGGAAACGTGTATATTCCCATGGCAACCTGCAAGCACATTATAATTCATGCAGAACATTGTGAGAAACGTATTCGAATAAGGATGTTGAAATGTGCAATGTAGACCATTTTTCATTTTTCTAAATTATTGATATGAATGTTTATAACACCGTCAATATTACCATCGTCATTGTTATCATAATTCCACAATTCTTTTCGATTCTTATTCATTGATATCATACAGAAGGCTCATGAACCAAGATATTTCAAAATGACTAAACAGAAAGTTTTGGAGACACATGAAAGAAAATGTGCTGTTGCAATTGTTTGCCGGGTACGACAGAAAAAAGGTAATGATGCCATAAAGCTATCAGTCTTGTGTAGGTAAACGTACATTACTTGATAAATGGTAAACCACTGATTAATATCTTAATGATCATCAACTCACCGTTTCTGCATATAATAGTTAACAGACAGATAAAAAGTTGAAAACGAGACTTCATCTTCCTGAATGTTGATTTCGTTGCGATTAATTTGTAAGCATTTCACATTCTTGGTCTTACACACAATTGCAAAATGACGTTTACGTATGCACAACAATTGGAAAGAAACTTAAGGAAGTGGTGGAAAATAAATTTGTATGGAAACAAGATAAAATAGTTATACTGAAACATATACTGTGAAATACAATAAGAATGCTGTGCGCCTAGCTTGAAGAAAATTGAGACCTGTAATCGAAACTTCACTCTCGAAGTATCACATCAATCAAAGGAGGGGATATTCATCATAGTTTCTATTAATAAACAGTGGCCGCTTAATGAATGGCTACATGTGAAGGATTTGTTTAAATAAATCATCAAGATCTTGATCTTATATTTTAGTTTGTACGATAGAAACATGTTCCCGAGATAGTTGTTCCATGACCATTATCCTTCTCACCAGTGTTTTTCAACCGCAGGGCCGCGAGGGAGGCCGCGAGAGAAAGTCAGTGATGTCTGCATGTAGTAAAAACAACTTTATTTAAAACAAAGTATCCGAAAAAGCAAGTGCCAGAATAAGAATTGGGGTATTTTGATCAGGAAATAACATTTTACAGATAAAGTAGTGTATTTATCCTCGCTCGCTTCGCTCTGTCGCAAAAGAAATGATTCATGGCAACGAGATGACCGAATGTTTTATGGTATAATACTTATGACAAATCCTTTTTGCCCGCTCACTTCAATCACTCGCAACATTCAGAAACCGGATAATAATAATATATATATTAGAGCAAGAGGCGTCGGGTGTCACGCGAGAATATACTCGTACTCCTATGTTCATATGTAAAAGTGAAGGAAAACAAATCTGTCAATGAATTTGGGCTGGTGACGCGAAACTTTTAAATACTTAAAGGCCCACTGCACTACTTGTAGCTACTTGCGCCCTCTTACAACAAACAATGCCTAATCAGTGACCATTGGTCCCCCATGATCCTCTTTTTCTTATGTTAACTGAGAGCTGAGTTGATGAGATAACCACCTGTCCAGTGACCTTGCAGGGCGCTCTAATCCCTCCTGTAAACTATGGCAGATAAGCTTTAAAATAGTGCGATGACTACAGCTTTAAAGATCTCATATAGAAGCAGAACTCTGAACTTCACCGCTGGCCTAATTACTTAAACTAACCCAAACCCTAACCCTAATCCAAAAAATAACTTAAACCGAATTGCAACCATAAACCTACACAAGATCAATCCTCTGGTGCAGGGGTATTTTTTTTTTTATTAAACTGACATTTGCCAACCTTCCCGTTTAAAAAGGCACCCAGTGGCGTACGCAGGGTTTTTTCAAGTGGGGGGGGGGGGGGGTTAAAATTGAGCCCAAAATTTTGCAACATTTTGTTTCGTTGGGGGGGGGGGTAAGGTCACCTTTTTTAGGTCAGCCATTGGCATAAAAAAATACACAAAAATACACATAAAAAACTCAAGGGGGGGGTAACCCCCCCCCCCCTTCGTACGCGCCTGTAGGCACCATACTGTCTCAGGGAACAGCCGTCTACATTAAAGGTAATACAAAGTTTTAAGAAATTATGAAAATTGGATGGATAGTAATTCTTTAAATTGTTCATATATTTGGATGCTCCTGTTGATGTATTATAAGCACTCAAAAATGTAGCCCCGAAAACACTTCTGCTTTCGAGAAAATTGAATACTCCGAATTTACCAGTGCTCCCGGAAAATTTCAAATATTTCAAATAGCGCCTAAGCCTTATTAGTCTAAGGCCATTCAATTGAGCTGTTACCATGACAACCTCAGAAGATGCAGTTCTGATAAATAGTCTCCAAACGGAAATAGCAAGTCGGTCGATTATAGTCAAGAAACATTGTTAAAGGGAATGCAAATTTTGGGGAAATTTTGAAAATTGGATGGATAGTAATTTTTTATATGCTTGATATATTTGGATTCCCCTGAATGTTGATTTATTAAAAGCCTTAGAAAATTTCGCCACTAAAACACTCCTGCTTTTGAGAAATTGAATTAATTAACATTTACCGGTGCTCCCGCTTAATTTCAAATATTTCAAATAGCGCCTAAGGCCATTCCATGGTAGCTGTGACCGTGAAAATCTCAGAAGATGCGGTTCTGATATATAGTTTCCAAACGGAAATAGCAAATCAGTCGATTGTAGTCAGGAAACATTGTTTTCAAGCTAAAGTTATATCAGTCTAGAGAGGGTGCTATACAACAAAAAGATTTTATCATTTACAATTTCATCACTTTAGACCTGATTTTAACCGCGACAACGATCATCGAATCGTAAAATCGCATATGCTTCCAAACTTTTCATTTGAACCAAATTCATCACCAATAACAAAACTGTGCATTGCCTTTAAGGGACTATCCTTAACCCAACCCTATAACTTTGACAAAATGAACACAAAGTCATGAGCAATAGTCGCCGCATGATAATTGTCAGAGCACCCAGTTCAACAGTTATCTGATCGAAAAGTCATTAGTATTGCACTAGCAGATCCATTGCAGTTTGCTCTAACCGTGAAAAATGAAGATATAAATACTACTGCAATTGTCACTTATCACTCTTCGATTCGATATTCCTTTGTATATTTGCTTCTCTTTCTTTTATTTTCATTGTTGTTCTTTCTGTCTAGTAACGGAAATATAAAAATCATATTTTGTCATCAGGAGAACCGCCTGATTTCCTCAACAAAACAAAACCTGATACATGTAACAGCGTTGATACGTCCTTCACTTAACCTTTCAAGAGGATATAAAAATAATGCCATACTCTCCGGTTACAAAAACGATTTGGATTCGAACACAAAGTTCAGAAAGGGTTTCATTAGAAAGATTTCTGAAACAGATACATGATAGCCTGAGAAACAAATGAAACTATATAAAGCGGCTCGACAGCCACGAGCTGTTCACATTTTTATATTCATCTTATGAAAATAAAAAGGGTCACCTTTTTGTAATGGCAGGATATTTTAACTTTTCTAAGTGTTAAATTTAGTCCAACTGAAATTAGGGAGAAAGCTGTCCGTTAGAATGTTATTGAAAATGGGACGAATTAAATCAAATATATTCATGAAGGTCTGAAAGCTGAGATCAGTAAATATTGGAGTAATTTTAATTTTAATAATAATAATAATACAATGATAATGATTACAATGAAATAATAGTACCAATTATTAATCAAAACAATGTTGATTAACCGATCTTGTATAACTCATGTCACATTTTGATATAGCGTCCTCATGCGCTTCAAAAGAAAGTTAGAATATTATTACACTTGCTTTTATGTCAGATAATAATCAAATTATTAATGATATTATACTTGTCATAATCTTACATAGTTATACTTGTCATAATCTTACATAGTTATACCAAAATATCTCTAAGTAGTTTTCGATATTCGATATTTGTGTATTTGCAAATATTTAAAGGGATAGTCGAGTTCCGTTTTCAGACCGCAAATGCCTTCAAAGTGCATGGTTATTGCTCTTATTCTTATCCATGACATTTTCAGTGCCCTTTTAGAACCTAAAATTGCTATGAAGATAATTTTAGACCCCCAAATTCAGCCACTATGATCATACCAATTCAGTTCCACTTTCAAAAAAATATGGCGACCGTTAATTAATTATTTAATTAAAAATAACAATACATGGGCCGGCTGGTTGTGCGTAATATAACCAGAATGAAAATGCCAACAAAAAAGCCATCATTGGTATTGGCTGAAATACGACGTAAAAGGCGTTATTTCGTTTTCTCGACGCCTTTTTCAAATTATCTAATATTTTTGGTGGTACACAATCATTAGAAATTGTTGTATTTATGGATATTTCAGCCGTCTCTGAACCGATTATTGATCAAACAAAGATGATTTTGGCATCCAAATTGTATGTTCTTTCAAATTTGACACTCAGTTTTTCATTATTTCACAAACAATATTTTGTGTAGCGCCCTCTGCAACAGAACTCAACTATCCCTTTAAGTGTTTGTTATTATATAAAGCTGCTGTACTTTATGGGAACGGTGTTCAGTTCTTCGTTCTCAAGCACTGGCGTACTGGTGGGGGGGGGGGGGGGGCTTGGGGGCGCCAGCCCCCCCCCCCCCCCCCCAAATAAAATTGAACCATGACCAAGTAAAGAAAGAGAAGAGAAGAAAGAAGGAGAAAAAAAAGGAAGGAGAGGAAAGAATGGAAAAGAAAGAAAAGAAAAAAAAGAAAGAAAAGGAGAAAGAAAAAAAAAGGAGAAAAAGAAAACATAAGAAAACAAACAAAACAAAACAAACGAAAGAGAGGAGAGAGAGAGAGAGAGAGAGAGAGAGAGAGAGAGGGGTGGTATTAAGAGCCTAAGAGAAGATGGGTGGGAGTAAGAGAGCAAAGGGAATGTTGGGTGGAGTCGCCACGTCGAAGGAGCAAGAAAGGTACGCATAGATAAATATGTTGCTGTGTCGGGTCCACTGTGTCGGTATTCTTGCTCTATCTAGCTCGTGTACTATATCAATTTAGAAGTTTGAAGTCGGTGAGATGTTTAATGTCGGTCGGCCGGCAATTTTATTTTTCTCTCTACGAACTGTGACTTTTTATCGGACAAAGAAAAGAAAAAATTAATTCAGACAATTTCTCTGATAATTTAATGAAACGTCAAAGCTTCCGCGCATCGCGCGGGAGGGAGGGAAACTGAATTCAGACAAAGTGAGTAGAAATCAGTACAACGAATCGTCTTCTTTCTCTAATAATTAATTAAACGTCAAAGCTCTCGCGCTTGGCGCTGGAGGGCGAAAACTGAATTCAGACAAGGATTAAGTGTCGAAAACAGTACAACGAATCGTCTTCTTTCCCTAATAATTTAATGACACTTCAAAGCTTCCGCGCTACGCGCGGGAGGGGGAAAATCTATTCAGACAAGGATTAAGAGTAAAAATTTAAGGAAACGCATCGTCTTCTTTTCCAAATAATTTAATGAAATGTGAAAGCAAGGATTAAGAGTAGAAATCAGTACAACAAATCGTCTTCATTCTCTTATAATTTAATGAAACGCCGAAAGCTTCCGCGCTTCGCGCGGGAGGGGGGGGGAGTGGGGGAACTGAATTCAGACAAAGATTAAGAGTAAAAAGAATCATTTAAAGAATCGTCTCTTTCTCTAATAATCTAATGAAATGTCAAAACTTCCGCGCTTTACGCGGGAGGGAGGAAACTGAATTCGGACAAGGATTGTAAGTCGAAAACAGTACAACGAATCGACCTCTTTCTCTAATAATTTAATTAAACGTAAAAAGCTTCCGCGCTAAGCGCGGGATGGGCGAAAATGAATTCAGGCAAGAATAAAGAGTCGAGAACGGTAAATGAATCGTCTTCTTTCTCTAATAAATAAATGAAACGTCATAGCTTCCGCGCTTCGCGCGGGAGGGGCGAAACAAAAAAAAAGTCTAGAACGGTACAACGGATCGCATTCTTTCTCTAATAATTTAATGAAGTATCATTAATATATTTGTCGGTAATTGGTGGCTCGTTTTGAAGGTAATCGGTGGCCTCTCCCCCCTCCCCCACTGAAAAAGATCTAGCAACGCCCCTCATAACAACACAGTTTATACACTCGATATAATTTTTAGTACAACTGGTGAAGTACCGGACCACCGCCTTTGTGCATTGTGCGGCAACGAAGCATATACAACGTCTTACTTCCAGGAAGTGCCGGTGGACATTATTGCGCAAAATGTGGTTCTCAAATTGCAAAAGATTCCTACTCTTGGAGGGGGTAGGAGAAAGCAATTTTATGTCATATTACTCCAGGAAGTGCCTGAAAAGGCGTCTAATGTGGTTCTAAAATTGCAAATGCTTCCTACTCTGGGAGGGGGTCAAAACCCCCTCCCAGACCCACCCCCGCTTGGTCGTTCCGCTCCCTCGCCGCTTAAGCCTCGCTCTGTCGCTTCATCAGGTTTTACATGTATTTCACCCCATGCCACCCCCCGTAAGAAACTCTTGGATCCACCACGGATGCCCATACCCATTGAGCTTCGGGAGCTCCGCCCCCCTGATGGGGCTTTGTCCCTAGACCCCACTTTGAAAAAAGTTCAGCGGGGCCAGCATGTTAGAGTGGGGTGATGCGGATTTTTTTTTTGTCAGCCCCCCCCCCCCCAAACGTTTTTGCTCATTACGCCACTGTTCTCAAGTGTCGTGTATATTCCATTCAAGTCTGAAATTCATTACATTACGGTATTGTATTGATTACTTCACCAAAATACAGTATCATGCCGAATGTTCTGTCCTATCAAAATCTGTTTGTTTTGAATCATTCAATGAATTAAGAGAATAATAGCAGACAACAAACAAGCAGACAACTCATGATTTTCTATAATTGTGTTTTAATATCTGTGTAGAAGTGAGCACAAGACAAAAATATGAATATATTCTGAATTTACAGAGGAAACAGTAGAACATATGTTACAGGTGAAATATAGCCCTCGTAGTACCACACAGTTTCAAAATTAATTAATTTGAAACTGTATGTGCACTTAAAGGATAGACTAGCTACAGCAAACATTAACAAAAACATTCAGATATATTACACGTTTCCAAATGTAGGCATAAGAAGAGCACATAACAGAACCATTCTTTAACAAACCCTATGTTCGTAATTTCAAATGTACAGCAACTTTGATAATGAATCCCATGTACACACAGTCATTAATGGTAGAATAGCAGTGGGCCGGATCCACTTGACCACAGCACATCTACGGTAGGTAAAAATATGGGAAATATTCAGGTGTGTGCTCCATGGGTACCACAATCGTTCCAGTTATGGTGCCAAGTTTTGGCTCCATACTTTAAAAAGACTACAATGTTACCTGTCATATTGATTCAAAGAGGGTTCGATACACGTTTATCGGGTAAAATATATGGTTTTCTTTAAATCAAATAAACAAGTTTTTAAATTGTTTTTTACAAAGGAAACAAATTAGTAGGCCTATGTTGCAGACCACTCCAAACTAGTTTTTTTTTCTATCAACTTCGCAGAGCAGGCCTCATTTATTGATTACATAGCATTAGTGTCTTGCTATTAATAGAATCACAAATCATATGACCGAAATAATCGGATTTCTAATTGAAGGTTGTTACTCATACCACTTGTGTCCACTTGTCGGCTGTACAATCAATAGTTTCGCTGCCCCCTCATTCCTAGGCTATATATCAAAGTTATCCTTTCATTTTCATTTCCTTTCAATTACAGTTATTCGCCATCACGATTGTTTATATTTTTGTTAAAGTCTCTCATCTCTGAATTCCATCTTAACGTGTTTTAAGTATACTGCAAGTAATCTATTATGATAATCATGATCATGTTCATGACATTAAAAGGTAATACAGCCTCTGTTACAAGATGAAGAAGAAAAAAAACAGACATACAGTTCAGAGGAGGAACTTTGAAATGAATTGAATAATGATCAGACATGTTAATGTTTTATACCTTGCCCTACCCGTAATCGAAGGGATTATATGATTAGCGAATTCGTTCATCAACTGTGACGTAATTGAAGACAAGCGTTGCATTTCGTTGTACAGTGGTTATTTTACGTTTCCTTCTTAGCAACTTCCCCTCGTGAATAACTTAACATTAATTATGGATAGCATGTTGTCATATCTCCTAAACTAAGAAAAATGAAAGGATCCTGATCAGCAAATATATCCAAAGTCGGTCATTTTTTGTGGAAGCATGTGGAAGATTTTTTTTAACAGTGTTATTAAGTTTTATATCAAATAAGAATTGTGCATATAACTTGTAACGTATCATATGTCGTTTGACACGTCACAATCTGTTTCTCCGATTTCCTTCAGAGTAACTTGCTATCAAAACCACTTTAACAGTAGAAAGGACGTTACCTTTTTTTTGTATACACGTACATTCAAGTAAGCTCAGCAAAAAAGCTTTAAGCGGAAGTAAACATTTATTTGACAAGTGTATAGTACGCAGTCATTAATACAAAGATGTACCTAGATAATGTACCCTGTAAAATCGCAACGGATAATGAACCAATGTAGTCAGATAAAGATTTCGTGTATCTGTCATGCAATTTAAATGCTGGCAGTCTTTTAGTCCGAGCAAAGGATAGCATTTAATTACGGTGGTCAACGTTTATATGTCACTCTTTCGTCATATCTTTAAGAGATTTTCTTTTTAAAGGTAGAATCGTAAGTGCCTATAAATGCCTACAAGCTGACAATGGTAATTCCTCGCAATGGATATCTATATGATACTGATGCTCACCATTCTAAATACTTGAACATCAGACGTGATGATATATTTTTCAAATCGTAAGGACTTACAGAGTGATTAACTATTAAGTGCAGAAAGTGTATCGATTGCTACTTACAATTATGACATTTGTTTCAATGTAAGTACTATGTTGTTGTCTCTCTCTCTCTCTCTCTCTCTCTCTCTCTCTCTCTCTCTCTCTATTGATATACACATTTACATAATGGTACACTAAATATTTAATATAAATGATTCATGTTAGACAGGAAAATGACCAAAGACCAATGACAATGAACTACTAGTGTAAACACAAGATGCGGGCCTCAATCCGAAACATAGATTCGCTGTCTTCTTATTCTTTCAACAATTGTTATCATCATTATTATAACAGTCATGATAATAATAACCTCCCTTACTCAGAGCAAGGGCCTTTGCCTGCTCTAGTGACCACCTGTCTACAAAGACCACATTTTTTGTTTCCCTTGAAAATGGTTTATCATTGAAACATGTACTAAAGAAACCTGTTTACAAAGAACACCTGTCTATAAAGACCACTTTTTGTGTTTCCCTTGAAAATGGTTTATCATTGAAACATGTACTAAAGAAACCTGTTTACAAAGAACACATGTCTATAAAGACCACTTTTTGTGTTTCCCTTGGGTGGTCGCTATAGACAGGTTTGATTGTATTACTTCTGTCCTCTTGTATCCTCTTATTATGTACACCTGGGTCGAGAGGGACCAACCTGGTTAAATCACCTAGTCCAACGATGAAAGCACCAGGGTTCGAACTCGGGGCCTCTCATTATGAGAGTCAAGAGCCTTTACCAGCAGACCACAGTGCTGCCACTGAAAAGAAGCGCTGTACTACTGATGATGAGTAGTACTAGTAGCACAAATTATACTAAAATACCTTCATTTTAGTTACACGATTTAAATTATAAGTATTAACTATTAACCGCGAAACGTGGCTCAGCAGAATACGGCTTCATGCGTTTCCCTGGCCTCTTAACATTCTCATAAATTGTTTCGTCTTTCACAAAGCATCCATGACGCTTTAGCTTATCTGATGGCACGTAATTTTCTTTATACGTCTTCTCGGGCGGCACCGAAATTGGGTTTGCTATCATGTCTATTGGTTTCGTAGTTTCCACTCGATTCATGGCGTCAGTCTTCGCTTTAATGGAGCTTTTGCGAAATGAAGAGTGTCGTCTGGATTTGACGATTGGTTTCCTTCCGTCTGCTATTTCCTAAAGGTAAAATATAAAACATTTAATACGGGTTAATTTAATCAATACTAAGCGCCATAATCCCTAAAAGTACATCAAATTTACAATATTCTGAGTAGAGATTGCTAAAAGTGCCCTAAAATGTCATCTGCTCAAAATTGCTTTCCAGTAGACTTACACTTATTATTTAAGTCGTATCGGTTTTTATGTAATATCATGTTTGTATTTTTCTTTTTCTTGTGCCTTTTTCATGTGGTGTCAAAAAGCGCATTATAAATACTATCATTCTATTTTTCAGTTATGAATACATAATAGAATCAGTAGACATTAAAACACGATTAGAGAAAAACTTAAAAACTTAGTTCAAACAGAACTGGCCAGGCGACAAGATCCCTGACAATTAAGTACAAGCAAACTACATAGATCAGGGGGTTCCTGGTGATGGAGTTGTAAGGCAAAGAAAAGAGAGAAATAATATGTAGAGACTGAAGAGTGACTAGGAGAGAGAGAGAGAGAGAGAGAGAGGGGGGGTTAAAGTGAAAAGGAGTTACAGATGATTGCACAATTATTATTCAGGGTACCACAATCAAATAACGATAATAATAATAATGTTAATAATAATAGGAAGAAGATGGAGAAGGAGAAGAAGAATTACAAGGAGAATATACATAATAACACATCTTCACAGCCATAGTATTTTAAAGAAAGTATAGCCACCCCTCGCTTCAAGCCCCACTACACGACTTATTGCTACTTGCGCCCTCTATATAGCAATCAAATCCTAATCGGTGACCATTGGTCCCCATGGTCCCTTTTTTTTCTCATGTTTATTGAGAGCTGGTTTGATGAAATAATCACCTGTCAGTGACCATGCAGAGAGGTCTAATCCCTACTGGCATAACTAGTGCAAAGGGGCTTTAAGAAAATAATGTCTGCTCCCCTTTTCTGATAATCGTACATTCACCGCTGTAAAGGAGCCTTTATGATTTGATGATTCACATCACGTTACATGACGCCACATTTATTTTATTTTTAATATGAAAAGGCGCAGGTTCCCCAAATAAGGTATTTCACATTTTCTGAAATAGGTGGGTTTTGATTTGAAAGCCCGATTTGAAATGTTTTATACTGACAATCCCATGGAGAGAGAGGGGATAGGGAGTTAGTTCCACAAATGAGGAGCAATGGATGAACAAGAGTGACGAGTGTGTAACTGTTGAGGTGAAATGATTTTCATATTGCAGTCTCCCTTCAATTTCATGATATGGATAAATGGTTACTTGTTTTGTGACTGGCCAGAAGATGACATAAGATTTACTTTCCTTGACTGAAAACAGAAAAATGTTTTTAAATTTCTTACCAAAGTATTTTCGGCAGGTGCATTTATATCGCCTTCAGCATTTTCCGTTCCACTAGACAGGAATCCATTAGGAGTCATTCCTGAAATTTCTGTTAGAAAGCAAATAAAAAATAATTTATAAAAAAGGATTTATTGAATTTCCTTTGTACATTTTCCGAACATCTGACTCTCTTCACAGACCAAAGGAGAGATAATTCGGTCTAATAAGTATTAAAATATTACCATTTCTGACACATACGTGAAATACAGTATAACATTATACGCAATGCACTGCCTTTTAAACATTAATCATCACTGCAAGGGCAATTTTTTAGGTCGAGCATTTTTTGTTCTAACCACGCATTAAACCGTCACTTTACATTTACGAATGCCTTAAATTATTTATTTGATCCTTTTTTTTTTCTTTGTTAATTCATGCTACGAAATGATCAAATATTTAGTGATTTAGGCATTCTGATCTGTTTTTCCTTATCACCTACACTATAATACAGTCCTTTTCAAGTGGTAATGTAAATGTTCTGCTTAATAGTTAACTTCTTATTCTTTGGAAATACAGACTAGGGGGGCATAAGCCCCTTGTTCCATTGCCGGAAAATAAGTCCATCAAGGGTTTCTTAAACAGCCTAATAAAGTTTGTAAGTAATCACACTATACCGTTCATTGTGTACTGCTCATCTTTGCCACAAAGTCGCTTCTTCATGAGTAAAATCACCATGACAACGGCAAGAGAGGTGAGGAAACCACCAATGAAACAAGCAACATACAGTTCCGGCTTCTGCGTCTTTTGTTCTATGACTGCAAAATCAAGTGGGAAGGGGAGAGTTTCTAAAATTTATTCTGAATAGTTGCTTAAGTAAAAAGTGAATTAAAATTATGGATTATAATTGTTCTAATCATGACATTTTTTAACGATCAGCATGAGAACAAAATTGCTTCACATCACAAACATATGAAATGTATTAAATTGTATACGTAATAGGAATCGGTAGAAATATGTCACGAACACGAATTTTTGCTACTATTCAGTTGTCTAATGATATGTTGTAACTATGTGAAGTCAACCTTCAACTGGAAACTATTTTTTTTTCGACTCTATGCTTACACGGGGAAATATTACGTTTTAATCAGAAACATGTATTTCACAAGCACGTATTCATGGCACTAAATAGTAGTAGTAGTAGTAGTAGTAGTAGTAGTAGTAGTAGTAGTAGTAGAAGAAATGATTTAGTATAGTTGTAGAAGTATAGCAGAAGTAGTTGCAGTAGTACATGTATCAGTGATTTAGTAGTAGAAGTAGTAGTAGTAGTAGTAGTAGTAGTAGAAGTAGTAGTAGTAGTAGTAGTAGTAGTAGTAGTAGTAGTATAAATACTAGTAGTAGATAAATACTAGTAGTAGTATAAATACTAGTAGTAGGAGTAGTAGTCAGTAGTAATGTAAGTAGTAGTGGACTTATTTTGGATAACTTGTCTAGCACAAGACTAATCTGCCACAAGGTCCACATGCGAAGTCAACCATTAAAAGCAAATGATTCGTTGCTACGTTATACTTCCAAGTTGAATTAATAGGCTTTTACTCACAAATATAATTTTCACAAACTATGCTACTAATGATCTTTTGTACAATTTGAAATGAAAATTCAAAAAGAAGTTCTACGTTGCTACTATATACTTTTACAGGGAAATAATAACATGTCCTAACACAAACAACTTCACTAGCTTTGGTTTGAAAATCCATCGATAAAAGGGTGTGGGATGAATCATTAAGAGATTCAGGAGCGTACACATGAGGGGTGGGGTTAGAACCCCCGCCCCCTGTAACTTTTTGTTTATGTGTGTGTTTTGGAGAACCCCCCCCCTTTTGAAATATATATATATATATATATATATATATATATATATTAATAAAAACAATTAAAAAAATAAAAATTGTGGTAATAGGTGACCCAAAAAGGTGACCTTACCCCCCCCCCCCCCCCCCCCCCACTCCGAGAACGGACGGACCCCATGCGTGTTGCCAAAATGTCCTTTTCGTAACAAAAGAAAAAGGTCGAGCCGTATTGACTTTACACACCGGACTTTTGCTGAAAAGGGGGGGGGGGGTCGGTTGGAACACGCATATGCGTACCCTAAATAACACTGAGTGGGGGGCCGGGCCTTACCCCTCGCTCAACAAAACAAAAAATGTCCTCTTATCCCCCACCCCCCCCCCCCCCACCCCCTCCGCTTATTCAGCAGTCGGCTGAGTCGTTGCGAAATTTACGGCGTGATTTTCAATTTTTAACCCCCCCCCCCCCCCCCTCTTGAAAAAAAATCCTGCGCACGCGCCTAAAGAGATTGATCAGCAAATGATATTCATCCCCCCTCTAATCGTATCTTGATAACACAATCTTCCATCCTCTATCTTGGTTCAGTTTTATGGATAAAACTTCCTTTATTAATTAAGAAAACTATTAAGTAAGGCAATCAAAAAATGTAAACAAATATATGTGCAATTTTCTTTTTGACGAATTCTGAAAACTTATAATATTGGTGTTTATGCAATGGTGTTTCCTTCTTTTCTCTATTTTCTTTGTCTTCCTTGTTTGTATTCTTCATTTTATGTAAATTATGTTACAAAGCTATTGCTATTTTGTGAATATGTTTAAGGATCATTGTTAACACGCCATATGTGGTTTTCATGATCCTCTCAGTTCATGTTAGCTTTTTGAAGATCATATAATCTTGTTTTTATCTTGGCGTTGAAATAAATAAATGAAAAAATTAAATGAAATGAGACTTTGTCGATTGATATTTTCGAAGTTATGTAGAGAGATATGTACAGACAGAATCGTATCTAAAAAAAGATCACTACTCAAGGTGAAACTTGTGAGAAGGATATTTCCCAGTAAAAATGGTGATACTCTACATGCATCATAGAGCTTCAATGCAGAAACAAATTAATAGATCGAAACCAAAACATATGTTGTATTTCAAACAATAACTGTTAAAAACGGACATAAAATGAGGGGTTGTATTTTATCATGATTCAAAGGGTATTTTCACTTTCTGCGAAACCGTGCTATTATTGGAAAACTAAAGAGACAATTGAAGGTTGCAAGACTGAGCACACCCCCCCCCCCTCCCGCCCACACGCTCCGTGGTGGAGTTGATTTTTTTATTAGAGAATTAACAATTGATTTATTCTGCATGCAAAGGCCAACCAATAACGATAATTTACCGACAAAATAGTGAAGCAAAGAAAAGAAATTGTAGGAAGTTAAGTCACATATTATCAACATTGTAGTTTTTCTCCCCTTATTTCTAATTTCAACATTATAATGTCTAATAATGTAACATATATCCCCTTTTATCTCATGCTTATACCTTTTTTTCTCATATTCAATTATTATCTCCATGCCTAATATGTATATTGCTGGTCAATGACCCTTGTGAGTGCTTATCCTTGTTCTGAACAAGTCATCTTTTACAAGGTTTACTATAACTACTAGTGTACACAGTAGCTGTTCTAAATGGGGATTTGGGGCACAAGCCCCTCCCCTAAACGTCTTCCTTATAGATTGGTTTAATTAAGCGAGGCATAAGAAGAACTTTAATGAATTCAAGACCCGCCCCTTCCCAAATCATTATTTTAAAACAACGCCTGACTATTACAAACTTTACACCAAATTCTAATATATATTTTTCATTGTAATTACCCATCACTATAGACTTGTTGTTGCATGTTGTTCCCGTTGTGTCCAAAATCTCTGTGACAGTCCTGACCTCTCCATTCAATTTGACCTTTGACCCACTGTAGATGCAGTCTTTGCAGTCCCTCTTGAAGATAACACTTGAATTGGACTTCGAAAAGCAGACTCTTCCGTTCGGCTTGATGGCATTGTAATGCTCATTAATATCTATGATATCACCATTCAGACCTGGAGCGAAAACTGAAATGCAGAAATTGAAAAAATTGGAAGAGAGATGGAGACAGTAATAGGGAGAAAGAAGGAGAAAAGCAAGAGAGATAAAGAGAGAGAGAGAGAGAGAGGGGGGGGGGGGTTATAGAAGATGGTAAGAGGAGAGGGGGAGAGAGAGAACAAAAATAAAGCTGTAATTTCCTGTTAAATACAAGCCCCTTTCACACCGGATCTGCGTAGAGTTGCGTAGTGTTGCGTACTGACTACGCCGAAGTTAAGCTGCGTACTCACGAATAAATTGATGCTTCGGCGTAGTCCCTGCGTATGTTATGCGTAGGCTTGCGTACGATGGCGTATAGTTACGTACCCTGTGCGTAGGCACCGCGTACCTACGGCGTAGGCAATTGGCGTAGGGTTACCTACGCTTGCGTAGGCCTGGCGTAGGGTTGCTTACGGTTGCGTACGGTTCCTTACTGTGTGCGAAAATGCCATGTAAAAAATGCAATAGACGCTCGTAGGAGCCGCGATTGTAGCCATTGGCGCTTTATAAACCTATATAATAAAAAAAAATATGTTAAAAAGACAGTTCAATTTATTGTATAAACGAACTGTGCAGTGTACAAATAATTGTATATGTTATTACGTATGAACATAACTTGATCTTAGTATAATAATAACATTCTGACAAACTGTGACATCCAAGGGGCGGTGGGTCTCTTTTGCATGCGTGAAATAGGGCTGAAACGCCAATTTGCGTAAAATAGTGAGTTCAGTTTTTCAGTTTATTTTATTTTTGCACGGCACCAACTTCAGCCAAAGGCTGTTCTTCTGTTGGTCCGTGTCCGAGTGAAGAAAATAACATTTATAAACCTGCCATAAGTTTTAATAGTAAAAAGTGGCGTTTGGTACATGTTTTGACCGTTACAATTTCAGTATTTTAGTAAGGTATTAACAACTGCTGAGGTTATTTTGCAGTATATGTTAATTTGTTCAACATTTTATTTTCCAAAAAAATGCAGACATTTTTGTGGATGTACTACATTATTGTACTATGTATCATTCAAAAGGGTAATAAATGAACTTTCTTTTGATGTACATTGCAAGGTCACGTGATGTGATTTGATACCTTAAAACGCCAACAAAATTGAGCGCTTATTTTGATTTGTGAATAAATGTGGACAGAAGTCTAGTGATACTTGTTGACAAAATCCCTTTTTCACTCATTTGTAAAATATCATTCCAGTTCATTTTATTTCATTTCAGTTTCCTGAAAGTTTGAAGACGACCCAATAAACAGAACACCAAAAAGTAACCTCTTTTGGGAGTGTATTTTAAGTGATTTTAAAGTATAGTGCCTTTTGAACTAGATTTAAACGTTATCGACACGTGCCTTCATTTAAACAAAAAAGGTACTCCTGTTCACGTTTTCATCTGACCTAAAAACCACCAGTTTATCACGCGACTGGAGTAACGTGATTCCACTTACCTCTGTAAATCAAGTGTTTATGACCAAATAACCACTTGACCAAGCAACGAGTTTGTTGTCAGTTAACCGATGGTGGCGATAAATACGTAATTATTTGGTCTTGTAAGCACCTTTATTGATTGGTTTCATAGGTTATCAAAGGTTGATAGTATTAATCACGTTACTTACAACGGCTAATCGTCTTATTGTTCTGTCCGTGAATCTCTGGTTATATTCAACTAGTAATTCTGAGGTGTCTTACACACCTCTTTAAAAGGTTTCAAAGTTACCATAAATTTCTTGGTTATGATCACGTGGCTCAAGCTGATTACTAATCTAAGCTGTGAAAACGTGATATGTAGGTGTGAAAATTAGTAATTATTAAGTGTTTTAAAACACCTTTTTAAATGGTAGTCAAAGTTGCCATAAGTTCCGCGGTGATGATCTCTTGACTCAAACGGATTATTGATCTAAGCTGGTCATACGTGACTTTTAGGTGTGAAAAATTAGTCATTAGTAGGTGTCTTAAAACACCTATTTAAATGGTTTCAAAGTTACCATAACTTTCTTGGTGATGATCACGTAGTTAAAACTGATTACTAATCTAAGCTGTGAATCCGAGATATTTAGGTGTGAAAAATTAGTAATTATTAGGTGTCTTAAAACACCTATTTAAATGGTAGTCAAAGTTGCCAGCAGTTCCGCGGTGATGATCTCGTGACTCAAACGGAATAATAATCTAAGCAGGGCATACGTGACTTTTAGGTGTGAAAAATTAGTCATTATTAGGTGTCTTAAAACACCTATTTAAATCGTAGTCAAAGTTGCCAGCAGTTCCGCGGTGATGATCGCGTGACTCAAACGGATTATTAATATAAGCTGGGTATTCCGTGTTTTCCATGTGTGAAAATGAGTTATTCTTGGGTGTCTTGATGGTTTCACAGTACCATTTAAGTTCCGTGGTGATAATCCCGTGACTGTTGGCATATTTCTATTTTCACCAGTTGATAACTGACTGTTGGCATATTTTCATTGCACCAGTTGATAACTGGAGTGTGCATATTTCCAGTTGCACCAGTTGATGACTGAGCGTTGGCATATTTCGAGTTGACCCAGCTGACACCAATTCATTTGCATATTGAATATGGGGTGCGTGCAGATCTATGTTTTTTAAACAATTTATCTGAATTTACAGCATATTTCTTAATTACTGATGATTTAGTTATATGCAATTCATTTCGAAAATACTACAAATATAAATTTCCAGTTATTAGGACATTTCGCTACTTCGTATAAATAGTTAAACATGAATAAGGGAAACATTAACTGTGAACTAAAATAATTTCAATAAAGTACAAGTATACGAAATTTTTTCGATTAATTAAATTATGTAAGTCTACTTATTACCAATGCCCTTACATTGGAAATACAGACGTACCAGTAATGAAGTATTGTTGCTGTTCAACTGGTTGGAAGTTTTACCAAATGGTTCTAATGGCTCAGCTAGACCAGTTGAATTATAACTGGCCTGGATCAACTGGATCATTTAGCCCATTTCAATTTCCAGGGTTACCAGTTGGCATTAAATGGTTCATCAACTGGACCAGTTGCAACTAGCTTTCTCTTCTGGGATGTTTGCACCCCCCCCCCCCCCCCCCACCCAACCCCCTTTAATCCCAAACTGCTTCCGGCGCGCCTGGACGTAATTATGGAAGATCCAAGACACGATGTTCAGAAACGGGATGAGAACGTCATTATTTTGGTTCATTTATTGTGTAACATTTGCGTAATTATTGGGTTGAACGCGGGTTACAGTAGCATACTTCCTCTTCGACGTAAATTTCACGTGAATGAAGAACATGATTCATCTCAAGTCAGCCTCGTAATATTCACGTGAATTTCACGCAGATATTTTGACTAAAACTATCACTAACGCTTCACGTGTTTCTGTGACGCGATAATTTCGTGTATGAAGATGTAATTTCATAACCAAACAAACACGGGAGTATTAGGTTTACAAACCATGGTCTCTAAGGTAGGGATAATCACGTTATTATAATGGTGATATTGCAGTGACAATTGCGTGATTTAGTGTACGTGTGTTTCAAGTTACCTAATGCAATAAACGTATTAACACATTTACGTAAATGTCCGGTGTTTGAAGAACGTAACTCTCCTCAAGTCGATACCTTGATATTGACGTGATTTTCACGTGATTTTGTTTATTGGGGATAGCTGTTGTCCGTAGCGTATATGTGTGTGACAATGTAATGATAAAAATGTTAGTCATTTATTAGATTTAAAAGAAATACTTCTGACATACACACTCACTCAGTCTAACTAACAGAGTGAGGCAAAATTATTTCTTTGCTCATTTCAATTAAACAAAATTATATTACAAATAAACAACCAGGAACACAAACGTACACACAAGCAAACAAACCGACACAAATACATACAGATTTCCACAAAACATAATAACGTTTGCATGAGGCATCAGTTTGTGAATATTATCTCTGTTTATTATATCAACAGCCTGAGATGTCAACATCACAATTTGAATAAACCACAACAAAACAAAACATGTCAGTCTGAAATACCTTGTAGAAGTACAAACAGAATTACAAGCAAAAAAATACAAAATAAAGTCAAAGAAACACTTTTTCTTCATGAAAAGAATTAATGTGAGAACGCACACATTTAAACAAAAATAGCATTTCCCTTCAAAATAATGATCACTACCTGTCAAGTTTACATCCAGGTATATACAAAAAAAAATACGTTTTTAATGCTTCGTCGGACTGGCGTAGGGTAGCGTATTGTTGCGTAGGCTTGGCGTACAGTTGCGTAGGCTTGGCGTACAGTTGCGTAGACTTGGCGTACAGTTGCGTAGTATTGCGTAGACTTGCGTACAGATTGCGTAGACTTGCGTACAGATTGCGTACTGTCAGCGTATAGTGTCTACGCCGAAGGTACGCGAAAAAAATTAAACATGTTTAATTTTTTGCGTTCATCTCGCGTACCCATTCGGGTTGCGTACGATCGGCGTAGTCGGTACGCAACTCTACGCAACTCTACGCAAGGCCCGGTGTGAAAGCCCCTTAACCAATAAAACTTTTCGGGATTTTCAAAATCTACTTTTAAGAAAAGGAAAAAAAAGACTGTACATGGCGAACGACTAAGGTGAATGTGTGGGAGTAGTACAAAGCAGGAGCGGCAGAGCGGAGCATCCTCTAAAGTGTGGGGGGGGGGGGGGCAAAAAGGGCACATTAATGGGGGAAAGGGCACCTTCAAAGGGTAACCTCAAAGTGAAAATATACAATTTTTAGAATTTAACATACGCTGACATTGCGATTAATACATCTATCTGGGATTATTTCAATATTTATTTCTCCCTTTACATAGCAATTTAATGAGATGGTTGGAATAGTCTTTAATAATTTTCTAAGATGTGTGAGGTCGCATTAATTGCGACCAATCTTTTAAAGAGGAAAAACAATCCTTATCGGGTTTTATAAGCACAATCTTATTATGAGAGATTAAAAATACCTTTAATAAGTTACATAATTTATTTACATGAACTACATTTAATAGCGAGCTTTGGGGAAAATTTAAAACAAATGTTGATCTTAGTCACTTTAAATTTGGGGCACATGTTATGGAGGAAGGAAAATGGGCACTTATCAAAAGGGAAAAGAACACTTATAAATCTATCAAAAGATTAGTATTATGTGTCAAAGTAAAAGTGAAAAGGTTGCTCACGCCAGAGAAAAAAAGGGGCATTTATGAGGAGGGGTATGTGCATTTATCAGAATTAAAAAGGGCACCTATCAGCAGGCACGTAGTCAGAGTTTGATGTTTAGGGGGCACATACATTAAATCGATCGAGGTAAAAAAAAGGGGTCCAAAAAAGTTCAACCGATCTTGGCTATATGCCTGCCTGCCTATCAGAAAGGGAAAAGAAGCGATCGAGTGTCAACAATAAAAGGGGCACTTATCAAAAATGTAAAGGGGTATTCTTCAGAGATAAAAAGAGGCACTCTTAGAAGGGGAAGGGACAAAAAATGAAGGAAAAAATAGGGGACACTGTGTCCCCACCCCAGCACCCGGAGCGAACCTTGACCTTTATACATATTCTGATTCGAAATAACATCGCCGGTTTAAAATCAGTAATTTGATTATAACACATGGAAATTGAAATATGTGTTGCTCAATAAGATATATTAAATAAAAAGATTTCAACTTACGTGTACTGCAGAAGAATATTGTGAGGCATGGCATTATATGACAACGCGATTCCATAATAGGCAATTAGCAAATCAACACGTCACATCAATATGCAAACACAAAGTCTCTCTTGAAGAAGGAAACACTATTTTCCAGATCTTATCGCGATGGTTTTGAAATCTGCCTGTAAATCACCGTAAAACACGTCAGAAGCTAGTAGATCAACAAAATTGCGTGTGTGTCGTAAATATTTCAATCAAACTTTCTTCAAGATGGTGATAATGATGATAATGATGATGTCGAAACGAGAGCAAATAAAGTAGGAAACATAAATTGAATTTGCATTAAAGTGAAGAACATACGCAAAGCATCACAGCACTATGATGTCATTGAATAAAGTATGCCTAATATTAATGGTTCTCCGATATTGTCAACTGACACCTTTTAGAATGTGTTCATTTTATGGATGTTATATGATGAGCCGGAAATAATTTAAAGTGTAAAGAAACTGGCGTTCATAACAATTTCCTTCTTCCTCATGCAAGTGTGAGAGTGTGTGTAAAACTTGAAACTCAATGAAAATGAAACAAGTTTAATGAAAGTAGCAGTGAAGTGTACCATGAATTAAAGTACGACCAAGGAGTTTTAAGAGATGCATGGAGTCCTATCTAGCTCATTCCCCTTGTACCATCTTCGATGCCGCCAGTACAAAATATGTCAGGCATGTGCTTAACTGGATCTTCCTTGCAGATATAGACAAAAGATTCCTGCCTATAGCTGCAAACTAACGGGCCGCATTCAAAGGGAAATATGTTTTTGTAATGATGATTACCTGTCGCTACCACTCGTCTGATAATACGAGCAGTACACAGTGCTTACCTTTACATGAGGCAAGCGAAAGGAAATGGAGAAAAATTTCCTGAAATAGTAATTAAAATTAATCGACTGGGCATGTGGGGGCACTAATCTGATAACATCATAATTAACTATACATGAACAAATTCACTTTTTATTTTCGTGAGCCGGAAGTAATAGGAAAAGTATCAAATTGTAGGTTTTAGGACTGTAATTTTTCAAAATATGTTTCACAAATTTAAGCTGCTATCACACAATGTTGCTATCACACAATATTGCTATCACACAATGTAAGCAAATTTCTTGACATAATTAGGCTTTTGTATTCATATTCTATCATCTGTTCGATTTTCCCCTTGTCAGTTCATATAAAAAGTGAAATATAAAGTGAAAAAAAAATATCACTTCCCAAGCTTTCCAATGATACTGATGGCTTCGAACCTCGGACATCAAAGGTAACATCACACCAGTAGATTATATTGTGCAACCAGAGAAAACGGCAGCTGCTTGGAATAATTATTTTGTTGCCAGTTAGGTCTCTAGCTTTTAAAACTCCTCGGTACGACTGATGGTGTAAACAAGGATCAATAAGGGCAAAGGGACATGTGCCCTTCAGACTCATGGTAGAAACTTTGGCCGCATTCACAAAGGAGGTTTGTCGACAAACCTTGGTTTTCGTACGTCATATGACGCGTTTTTACGCGTTTTTTTACAAACCTGGTTTGTAAAGAACAAGAGGAGGTTTGGCGAAAAAAAAGGAGGTTTGAGCTCAAACCTTGGTCTGAGTTCAAACCTTGCTTTGTGAATTCGGGCCAATGTGTTTGAAACGGGTAGTTGTAAAAGGGGAAGAAAGAGGGAGATAAATAAGGGGGAAGAAGGCAATGACAAGATGTTTCAATGTCTACATCGATATCCCCACATCCCGTCATTCTCGCAATCAAGATTAAGTTCATGAGAAGGGGGGATTTTTATTTTTGAACACAGTTACTTACCTTTTAATTTTTCTTTCAAGCCCTTAAATTAATCTAGCACTAATACTAATAGACCTTCAAATCGGAATTCTCAGCATACCGATTTGCCGCTAATTGAATGCTAAATGAGCGCTATAATCAAGTGAGTTATCAGGGTACCGTCCCAGATGCCCCCCTCCCCCCCCCCCCCCCCCCCGGCCAGACGCACATGCCATAGGCCGTGGGAACAAAGATTTAACGAGTCAATCTTTAAGCAGGAGCGGGAAATAAGTCATTCAAAATGCTGAAGGTTAATCGTGTGCTTAATGTCTATGCACATGTAGGCTATTAAAGTATTCTCTTTATAAAAAATAAGATAGCCTATGTACGTAGCCTCTGTATGTATACCAAACCTCCAAATGATACTCAATGCGAGACTGAAAGTTGGAAGTATTCAACATGATAATACTTATAAACATTTACACAAAAATGATAAATAAGCACAATGTATATACCATCGCCTAGCTGTTCACACAAATATTCTCAATTCTCTCTCTTCTTCTTCTTCTTCTTCTTTTTCTTCTTCTTCTTCTTCTCCTTCTTCTCCTTCTTTTTCTTCTTTTCTTCTTCTTCTTCTTCTTCTCCTTCTTCTCCTTCTTTTTCTTCTTTTCTTCAATTTTTCTTCTTCTTAATTCTTCTTTTTTTTCTTCTTCTTCTCTTCTTTTTCTTCTTTTTCTTCTTCTTCTTCTTCTTCTTCTTCTTCTTCTTCTTCTTCTTCTTCTTCTTCTTCTTCTTCTTCTTCTTCTTCTTCTTCTTCTTCTTCTTCTTCTCCATCTTTCTCTTCTCCTTCTTCTTCCGCTTCTTAAATTAGTTAAGTTTCTCCTTCTAGCTAAATTATTCTTCTTCCTTTTCCATCCGACCTAGGTCCATGGCAAGTGGGGGCATCATCAGTTCATGCAATCCCACTCTTAACCTTCACTCCTTACGACCCCCCCCCCTATTATACACCACAAAGAGACCTATATGTGTGTGATATTTTGCAATTCCTGGTTACATTATATTTATATTTTGACTTGTGCACTCAATTATATGTGATATTTTAGAATTTTGTATCCGTTGTTGTACATAATATTTAAAAAATCCTATTCGTTTGGATTATAATTAACGAAATTTGAATTTTACTTTAGTAGATCGAGTACGGGGGGGGGGGGGGGGGGGGGGGGGCGGGGCGGGGCATAATTACAAATGAAATAGGGGCAGTATTAGCGTACGACGTCGACCGGATCGATAACCCGGAAGCAATCAACGTACCGGTAGTAGTACGTGTAGGCACTACGTAATGTATGCATGTGTGTTTATTGTGTACGTATGTAGACAAATCCTCTAAACGTACATCGGGCCGGTATGGTAGCTTTTACAAGAGATTTATTAAAACTGGTAAAGTATTAAGTATTATCATTTACAAGTATATTGTATGGTACATATAGAATGAACTTAGATTGAACATCGATGTTAATTGGAGCGGCGCTACGCGCTAAGCCTAAGGACTAACTATTAAGGGGATACTTACTGCCACCGGTCATGAAGCTCTAGAATCTAGTCTAGGGAGCTGGTCGGGAGCTCCGCCGGCCGCCGATATAGACGTCGGAGCTGCGGAGCCTGCATAGGAAAACGACACAAGCAGCGAGTTGGGTCACATTTTTTCTAAATGTAAGGAAGTAGATCTAGGTCTAGATCTAGTGGCGTTAGTTCAGAAGTCTGTCCAAAATTTGGCCCCTAACTAACTCCGGTCTAGATCTACCCAAACAGTTGGGGCACTGGTCCGAGATAATTAATAACGATCGACTTTGTAAACGTGGACCAATGCGTCCTCAAAAACAAGGATTGTCTGTAACAAAGCAGATGTTCCATATTTTTGATCGGCACATTGGCGATGCAAAAAACAGATTCGGGGTGATTTTCTTGATGGTCTCTTTGTACAGAGACCTTCACATTATGAGCAATAAATCCTTGGGAAGACGGACAACCCTTAAAAGTAGACGGTCAACTAGGGTTATTTTCCCCTGGGAATCCAAATTTGGCGTTGCCTGTAGGCGGTTCGGAAACCCGAAACCCGAAACCTGCAAAGCGCCGATGAAAAAAAACGTTTGCGAAAATGCAGACGATCCTTGTTTATGAGGATGCATTTTGTCCGCGTTTATGAGGATATCCTCATTCTCGGACCAGCGGCAGCGCCCCTACTGCCAAAATGAATTAATATTCATCAAATGTCCAAATAGAGTCTAGATCTAAAGAAGGTCATGATTTAAAAGTCGATATGTTTCTACCTGTTTCTTGTCAATTTTGTTATCTTTTTCAGAGCATTTTTCCTAAAAACAAAGACTTAGACTAGGGTAGAGCACCCAGTATTCGATCACTTAAGGGGAAATCGCTAATTTTTTTAATTCTTACCTCTTTTATTTGGCAATCTAGTCTACCCATCAAAAGAAATGAAAATTATTCCTCTAACACAGTAAACAGGATTTTATAGTAACTTAAAATATTTCCGAAAGATTTCCGAAAGAGCATTTTTCTGCCTAGAATTGGGTCTCGCGATTTGTGTGTGGTATCTCCGTTGCCAAGGAGCAAAGCGTATTTGCGCACTTTTTTCACACAATTGCTCGACAAAGCACTGAATGTCAATGTGTTGACCGAATACTGGACGAGCGCTACCGCATGGCAAGGGTATCGTATAAATACCTCTTGCACATCGAAAAGTGCGTCATTTGCAAATTCGCTGCGATGAAGCGAACACGGAAGAGCTCCTCTTTACACACATACTAAATTCATTGCGACAGCACACATAGTTATTTCGCAATAGACTTCTACATATATAGCTATGCATGTTAGCGCATGTGCTAACAGAACGCATAAAAGTTACGCTTTGAAATGATCAGGAAGTGATGGCTTTACCATACTCGTTTTCCCCAATAGACTGTAGTGTTATGAAAACTGTTATTAGGAAAACACAAAATTTGATTTCAATTTCTAATCATAAATATCTTGATAATCAGACAGCCGATCGGTTTGTAAAAGTCATGGGGTTCCTACTAACCTAAAGCTTTATAATTATCATTTCAGCATTAGATAAATCCAGGATTTTGTTTCAGAATCTGAGACAAAGTTACCCAATCCCTTTAAACTTGAAACTTTGATGGCAGCTAGATGTCAACTCCTTTTGCCCTCACTGAAACTCCAGTGGGACTTTATATTACAGAGGGATAAAGAGCACTCATGTATGCGCGTATGTATCTAGGTCACATGACCTAGCATGCATACAACGTATCCAGCACACAACATCCCTGGCTCTTCCGGCGTGTACAGTGTGTATGCCACCAGGGAATGCATACATGTAGACGCATGAACGGACACTGGGAAATGCATTAACTCATTTTTAACACAACTTTGTTTTAACTTTGCAGGAGAAATTCCATCAGGATCATTTTTGAAAAGCACTACACCTTTGCCGCTTACAATCAGAAGGGTCAGGCAGCATCTGCAGTAGCGATAGCGCAGTAGACCAGCTACATAGAGATGGCTTCCTCATCTAGCAACCCCTTCGCTCTCCTGGTATCAACAAGCCAAGAAGAACAAGGCTCAGATGTAGTTCAGGTTGGTCCTATGTGTCAAATAACTGAGGATTTTTAATTGGTTCATATTTTGGAATTAATTTTATAAGAAGAGTGTTATTAAGTTCCTTCTAAATATACATGTCAGATTAGAAATTCCCTTTTTCTGTATAATAGCCAATGTAAGACCCCGTTCTCACTCACTTTGAAAGTGGTCTTAGTTAGACCGCTCCAGACCGCTCCAGAGGAACGGGTCTTGAGGAACGGTTTGCGAGCGTTCACACTCCGAGCAGTTTTTATGGCTCAAACCGCTATACGAGTCAAAGTGGTCTTGTTGCTATGGCAGCTCAGGTAGGCGGGTCAATTTTTTCGCGCGGAATCCAAACCCTATGTCACTTGATGTCCCGTTCGCGACGCGTCCCGTATACATATATATGTGTAGTGCCTGCCCGATCGCTCATCGCGCGGAACGTCACTTCCGTTCAAAGTACGCTTTCCGTTCACATTGCACGTTAGAGCGCTCTGGAGCGCTCTTAATAAGACCCGCTCTTCAAGACCACCTCGGAAGGTGGACTTCTGGAGCGGTCCAGAAGTCCGCTTCCTGGACCACTTTGAGCGTTCTCACTCACTTAAGAACCGCTCTTGAGGAGCGGGTCTTAATTAGAGCGCTCCAGAGCGCTCCAACGAAGTGAGTGAGAATGGGGTCTAATACGTATATATGCAGCATTTATATAAAACCATGTTTCGAAGTGCATAGGAAGATTACATCTACCTCTACTACAGTACTTCTTCTTCCTCCTCCTCTACCTTGCCATTTCTTCCTCCTCCTCCTTTTCGTCCTCTTCCTCTTCCTCTTTCTCCTCTTCTTCTACTACTGCTATTGATTGGGTTTAAGCTTAAATATCCATGTAGCCACCTCTATCGTAGCTAACTTCTGCCTACATTGACCTCTCTCTCTCCCTCTCTCTCACCTCCACTCCCTTTTCTTTCTCTTTCTCCCCATATACAGGACATAAGTCACCCAGATAAAGCAGGAGTAATGGAGGTGGATGTGACAGCCAGGGAGATCAGTTTAGTAGATGCAGTCATTCAAAAAGTCTTTCTTATAACAGTAGATCAAGGTAAGAGAGCCTGTAAAAACAGTTTGGTGTAAGCAATTTGAGATAAATAAATATAGGCCTATATAATTTGTTTGTAAATGCTTCAAAATAAGGCAAAGATGGCACCAGTGTGTATCTTAGAATCCTAGAGCCCTGAAAAAAAGGAATTTATGTGACCAGAGATGAGGGCTTCATTACAGGCAAGCTTGTCGAGCTCCATCTCCCTAGCCTAAAGGAAAGAAGGATCAATCTCAAACTCACCCTCTTCTTCAAAGTCGTCAGGGGCTGATGCCTGCTCTCCCAATTCAAAAGTTTGTTCAACCAATAAAATCAAAACGACGTATCCTTGCAAAACAATTTGAAAACTGTAATACCTCAAATATCATAGACAGACAAGTGACAAACAACAGCAAGTGCTACAACCCCATCAGAGCACAAACTGAAAATTACAAGAGCTTATACTTTCTATCTACCACCATTGAGTGGAACCATTTGGAGGACAACATTGTAAACTCCACATCAACCAGCACATTGAGGATGGCCATTGATAAAGCCTTCTACGTCCCCCCGCGCCCTCTCTCAAATGATGCGTTCATGCCCAGTAGGGCCCTGCATTGTATAGATCCAGATCTATGGAGCCCAGTCACAAGGGACTTTGTGCTTTACATGCATCAGTTTATCGTCGGTGGGGTGACAAAACCTCGTATCTCAAAAATCATGAATTTTCAGGAGAGCGAAAAAACATTTCCTGACTCAACAGATTTAGTGCTGTGACACCGTCCTTTGTGTGGAATTTGTGGAAAAACCGAGACAGGAGGCGTTCCATGGATTTATCAGGTGGTGTCGTAGGCCATTACATGTAGGTACACAATTATGCAAAAAAATCAAAATCTCAAAAAATTGAGATACAAGGTTTTGTCTCCCCACCGACGTTATACTCCTTCCCTATTTCAAATTTAAATGATTGAAATTTTGTTTGTGTTTTGTGTAAATATTTTGACACATAACTAACAAATGATGTCAACTTGTTCTCTTTCCTGTACACAGAGGGAACGACCTTAGATGAAGACATGCCTCCTAAGTGTGTGTTCCTGGTCGACATGGCTGATCAACTAGAGAAGGAGCGCTGTGAACCATGGTCATGGCTATCCTGGGAGAACATTGATATGGTAAGCTAGGAACCCTTTCATGATTTTGTTCATGTGACACCCTTGCAATGTTATTTCATTCCATGTCTCAACTCTTGGTTTCTCTAGAATAGTTGATTAGATCAAATAACAATGTTTACGCTGATTATCATCAATATTATGTAGAGGTGTTGTAGTCGAGTGGTTCGTTCGTTCGTGTCTCCTTAGATCAAGATAGTTATGTAAAGTTCCTTAATTAGAAGTAAATTAAATTAAATTAAGTTCTTCCATTGCTCGATTGCTGCAATGGCCGTTTCATTAACAAGGGACAGGTCTTCATCTGTGCAATCCGTTCCGCCGCACTGCAAGAGGTGGTCCATCGTCTGAGTCTCTCCGCAGTCGCAGAGAGTATCTCCTTCATGGGCATAGCCCCATCTTGCCATATTGACCTTACACCGTCCCATTCTCGTCCGCATTCGATTTAGGCATTGCCACTCCAGCCACTTCAGGTTAAGACCTCTGATGAGTACGGGCTTGACCGATGGTGGAGGATTCTGTTCAGGTGGTGGGACAGAATCGAGGAAGCTGTGTCGGGATATAAGTCGTTTTTGGGGTTGTAAGTAACCGTGTAGCATGTGTCTGTCATCTGTCACCTGCTTCATCCGTTCCTTTAGGCAGGTGTTAGTGCGCCTTTGGTTAGGAGATCCAATGCCAGCGAGGTGATATATCTCCTCAACTTTTGTTGGTTTCAGACAGTCTGTTATCTTTCGATATGTGTTATTGAGTGTGGTGTCAAGCTTCTTCACATGGGCTGATCTGCTCCAAACTGGGCAAGCATATTCTGCGGATGACATGCATAGAGCAACAGCTGCACTTTGTACAGTTTTGGGGTCAGCGCCATAGTGTGAAGATACTAGCTTCTCGATGATGGCATTTCGAGATTCTACTTTTCCTATTGTCTTCTCGATATGTTTCTTGAAGGATAAAGTGCGATCGAGTTTTACACCTAAATACACTGGATGCTCGCAGTGGTTAAGCTGCACATTGTTCCACTTTAGCTTCAGTTCTCTCTTTGCCTCCTTGTTCTTCAAGTGGAAAACACACACCTGAGTCTTGGATGGGTTTGCCCGTAGGTAGTTTGCTCGAAGTGGTGTAAGCACTTGAATGGAAATGCTAAGGTCGTGGGTTGGATCCCCAACTTGGCATTAATGTCCTTTGGCAAGGCATTAATCTAAATTTGCCACTCCATTCCCTAGAGAGAAATGTGGACCTGGTAGGATGATGAAAGCCTTTGTGTGTTAAGTAATTGCCAAATGCTTTCACGGTGACCATATAGTAGGAATATTTCCCCATGGAGTTCAGATGGTGCACATTGTACGTGAATTAGTCTAATGACCATTGTAATAATGAGATCTATAAAGGGCTAAGAAATGGTATCTCGTATTAGATGGTATATAAACCCAGATTATTATTACTATTATAATTCTTTTCCATAGGCCCTCTTTGTAAATGGCTTAGAGATGGTATTGAATGGTATTATAAACCAAGATTATTATTCAGGGATGCAAATTTTCGGGCAATTGCCTGAATTCAGGCCCTGGTGAGTTATTTTCAGACCATAGTTAAGGCTTTTTTGTGTGTACAAAATAGCTCATTCTAGGTGATTTTCAGGCCCTCTGATCAATTCTAACTGGCATTCCTGATTATTATTATCATTCTTTTTCATAGGCCCTCTTTGAGAGGTTACTCCTTCCGGATCCGTCATTCCACGTTCTTCACATGACATCATCCATCGCAAACTTTGATGAAGAAGAGAAGAAAGCAAGAGAGAAGGACATTCTACGCTACCTCCTAGCTTCATACACCAGAGCTGCTGCCCTTATCAAAAACATTCAGGTTACACATAAATGAACATTTCCATTCATGTTAAACAGGACAATGAGGACATGCCACAGTAGTTGTCAAATCGACTTTATTGATTGCAATCACCTAAATAATAGCCTCATTTTTAGACCCTTGTACAGAATGGTTGTACGTTTTGTGCTGCGCAAAGATTCAATCAGTTTAATTTTGCCCATTATGAGAAGTTGGTTATTGATGTAAACAAATGCTCATGTACCCTTTACAGCTCATTTTATGTATGTTATTACTAAAGGAAAAAAGAAGTAAATCAGTAACTCAATAGTGTATGACAGTGAAGTCTAGCAAGGAAACAGGTTTACTTGCATAATTTGAATATTAGGACACTGCTAACGTTTAAATTTCACAGATAGGACATACATGACATATTCACAATTCCTGCAAAGTTCTACAGAATTTTAAGTTGGCTGCAAATGGGACATATTGCCTTTAAATAGATATGGAGAACTTGGGAGCTCTTTCTTTCGTATACTATCACTTGTAACTAGTTCATTGATCTTCTCTGTGCTTATATAAAGTTTGTTTGTCAAGCGGTTTGAGAACCCGGGTTAAATTGCGCTACATTGTCTGTTTGGAGCCAAAGGGGGTGACTCATTTACCTCAATAAAAACTGACTTCACGCCTTTTGAGCTCAAATGTAGGGTATAAAAACATTATAATTATTATTATTGATATTATTGTAAGCATTTTAGAAAGTGTTTTATTGTAATTCATAATTTCTTTGTAGAATGAAACGGCAGAATATGCAGAGAAATGCCAGAGAATCACTGTATCCAACGCAGCTACGTGTCTCCTCACCCCAGAAGTATACAACAATCAGAACACAAGGCAGCAACTCTTTGATATTCTTCTACAGTCATACACAAAAGAAGAAGGTATGTGTTAGTGAAAGGACAACCTTCTTAGTGAGCTAATTTGTATGAAAGCAGAAAACTAAGAGAAACAGACTAGTGACAGTTTTAAGGAAATTGGATAAAAAATAGGAGAGCTATAGATTATTTTAAGTAGTAATCATTATGCGTATAGGCACTTCAAATTGCCTGAATCAGTAATGTCATTGTGACGTAGTGCCGGACAACTTTCCCTTTTGTTTCAACACAAAAAATGAATTTAATTTCAATTTTTCAAAATGTCAGACTCAGGGATTACATGGATGATGATGATCTCATGGCATTTCCTTTAAAGTACTCCTGTAATTATGACATTGTTTATGATTTGTGGTTACTTTTACTGTATTGCAAATATGAATCTTCATCATTCTCAGTAAAAAACTATTCCATGCAAAAAAGTTAAGTTTATCTTGAATTTTTTATTGTTGTATTTCCCAATCTAAGAGATCATATATCAAATTACTTTCCAATCATGAACATTTTTCAAATGGTAGTTTTAACCAATGGCTATGGATACAGCTTGCTTGTATGTTAGACCTGTGGGAATTAGCAAATTCACTAGTCAATGGATTAATGCCGTATTATCTTCTTCTGCCAGGTTGGGATATAGCAGTCAAGTTTTTCCATGAGGTAGCAGAGGCTATCCATCTAGATGACTCTCTACCAATCACAGAGGCCTTTACTCCAGTGCTAGACCTCCTCTACAAGCAGATGAGCCAAAGCCCCTCATTGGTTGAACCTCAGAACTATGTTTGGTGTGAGATCATGGGATTCTTTGCTAGACAACCTCAACTTGCCGAAGTGAGTGCTATGATGGTGGTGGCGGTGGGGGTAGTGGTGTTGGTGATGTTAGAAGGGATTGTGGTTGTAGAGGTGGTGGTGGTGGTGGTGGTGGTGGTGGTGGTGGTAGTGGGGGTACGGTGGTGGTCATGGTGCTGGAGGTGGTAGTGGTATTGTTTGTGGGGTTATGGTGATAACCAGGGCTCTACACAAACTTTTTCGGAAGGGAGTTTGGAATGCACTTTTCAGAATATGCATCGCTGAGAGCTATATGTTAACAATTAGACATTCTAGGAGTTCAGAAGTCAATATCGAGCACCTATGTGTCCAAGGCGCCTGTTAGTATCTAGCCCTCTGATGATGATGATGGTGATGCTGTGGCTAGATGTGTTAGTGGTTGTGATGATGATTTTTTTTCTTCAATTGTAATATTTGATTCAGTCTTCTGCTGAATGTGATGAACTTCTCATCAATCGTATTATTTATCACCACTCTATCTGCCACAGGTCCTTATGGATTTCATATCACCTACAGACCCTATGAATGCCAAGAGCTATGAGAAGACTCCGGTTGGTCTCATCCTCTCGCTATCCTGCCTGCCAAGGAACAATGAAGAGCCACAGTTCTTTGAGAAACCATCCAGGACATCTGGGAGAGACCATCAAGCTACACAGGAATACATATGGCAGGTAAGTACCCTCATCGGGATTCTAGTCTTCTGGCTTTTCAATGATTTCAAATCATTAAACGCCCTTCTTTAAGGCTTTCTTATACAGCTCTATGTGGCAAGTAGGGATATGTAGGATCATTTCACAGTACATGTAGAGGTGACATGGTCAAGTGGATATGTCTCTGGACTGGATCACAATGTCCGCGGTTTGATTCTCACCACGGCACTAATGTCCTTTGACAAGACATTGATCTACAATTGCCACACTCAACCCTGGTGAAGTAATTGGGTACTTGGCAGGAATTAATTTGTTGAAATGCTAGAGCGCCCGAATGGCAGCCATTCTAAAGCCAGGGTAATAATCAGGAGCGCCAAGTGTAAAGTCTGACAGATACAATACAAGCAATATACAAGAACCAAATATTATCAATATTTTTATATTTGCAAGAGATTGTAATGGTCTTGTGAGGCTTTCATGAAATAGCATTTTAAAAGTAGAATGCAAGTTTATTTCTTGGAATTTTTATTTCAAAGATCCTATTTTGCTTTTTCTTTGCCAGCCTGTTGGTAAACTTACAGAACATATTTACAGGATCTTCAGATCTCTCTTCAAGTCATCGCTGGAAATCAGGAATAGATTGCTGGCTTGGATAGGAAGGTGTATACATGCTAATGCAGGTAGGATATTGATACAACTCATGTGTTATATTGGCATCTCAGATAATAGTTTCCACCAGTCAATATGCTGAAGCCACTCTAAAAATAAGCAGCGTAGCAAAAAGTAGTAGCTCAAAAAGATACGTCCAGAACACAAAATACATAATTGATGACAATTATAATTTTATCACACACTAGTAGAACCAACTTGTAAATACATGTACCAAATGGACTAGGCTTATTAGGCTTTTATTCAGATATGTCAAAAAAGGAATGTTTAATTAGAAATTAAACTTTAATGCCTTTTGCATTCCCGGGGGATGTTTCAAAAAGACTAAGATTGACTAAAGTCGGACTTGAACCATGGCAGGCGATGTATGCCCTTAAAAAGTCTTGAACCAGATGTAAATTAGATATTCTTCTTCCTTTCTTCACCCATGACTCTCAGGGCGCACCAAGATGTGGTCAAGGCGGCTTCCAACCTTTGCCCTGACGTATGCCAGTGATTCCTTCTTTCTGAACCTCTCCTCTGTCTTGTTGAGATTCTGTGGTCCCTTTACCAAGCCAGACACGACCAACATCATGACTGTGGATATGAGCTATGGCAGTGTGGACCTGCCCGTAGGGGCGACAGATGCTCAAATGAGTGAGCTTGGTGTTCATCTTGTAGGTGAGTAATGATGATGATGATGATTCGGATGACGATGAGGTTGATGATGGTGGTGGTTAGGCCTGAGACGAAACGGGTCCCCGCCCGGGCCCCGACCGTCGAGCTGAAACCCGGTTTTTTGGTTTTCGGGTTTAGGGTTTTTCAAAATTAAATTTCACACTGATATTTTGAAATATAGAACTAAAAATATGCAATTCACAAACTTATATTTCAATATAATCAAATAAATATGCTTTAGAAATAAATGGAAATTGTTTCAGTTGACGGTAGGTGTTTTTATCGCTCTAAAATTGAGGCTGCAAGAAAGGAATCACGCTTCGAGGTACCGATCGAGTGCGTTCAGAAACGGAAGTGGAAATAGATCTATGACCCACTGAAGACAGAGCAAGAGAGTGCACACACAAGACTGATCAGACTATTGCAATTAAATCGTAATAATAAAGGCATTAAAGGTACTATGTCCCTTTTGCAGCCAACCTCAAATTCTGTAGAACTATAGAACTGTAGAATTATAAAATATGTCATGTACGTCCTATCTGTGAAATTTAAACGTTAGCAGTGTCCTCATATTAAAATTATGCAAGGAAACCCGTTTACTTGCTAGACTTCACTGTCAGACACTATTGAGTGACTGACTGGCCTTTTTTCTTCTTTGGTAATAACATACATGAAAAGAGTTGTAAAAGGTACATGAGCATTTATCTACATCAATAACCCACTTCTTGTGATGGCCAAGGTTAAACTGATTGAATCTTTGCGAAGCATAAAACGTATGACCATTCGGTACAATTGTCTGAAAATCAAGACTATTACTTTTGGGCTCTATAGCCCTAAAGTCGATTTGACAACTAATAGTCATTATTTTCCAACTTGAAGACATTTTCAAGCCCTACCTTTTTTAGGGAAGTTCTAAATTAGTATTATCTTTCAAATGCAGTTGGAATTTAACTTTTTCATTTTTTTGGCCTGCAAATGGGACATAGTAAGGATATATTGACTGCTTTGAGAGGCATAGTGGTTTCTATAGGGTCAAGGGAAACTCACAACCTGCTATGACCCCAAGGCGCTTGCGCCGCGGGGTCATAGCAGGTTGTGAGTTTCCCGAGACCCTATAGAAACAACTATGCCTCGAATATTAAAAGCAGTCAATATATATTTTATATACCGAAAAAAAGGAAAATGTTGACTCACCCATTTAGGTTTCCATACCTTATCTTGAAGGCCTTGTGGATCGTCCAAATCAAGCGAATCTTGAATTTTCGCCATGTCTTCTTGTGAGATCGGTGATTTGTGTTTCACAAATCCTTTCCCTTGCTGTTTAAGCGTTGCTGAAAAACACTTGAAAATTCTTGACGAATTTGCAAAGTCTTCATGCTTGATAATGTCCACAGATTTAGTATTGAGAAAGTGACGCTGAAGTCCGAATATGAACGTTAGCATTGATTTCCTGCTGTAATAATCGCCGTTCTTCTGCCTGCAACCCGCATAGAATTTTTGAAGGATCTTGTCCAGGTCTGCATTCGGAAGTCTGTTTACATCTCCGAGGTCCGTGTTGACATTTCGCAAGAACTCTTCAAATATTTTAATGCCGTATTTTACTGCATACTTCGTATTTTTGCTATCAGCAGAATCGATTAAGTCTTGCAGCTGAATGTCATCCATAAGTTGAAATCTTGGCATAGCTGTGTCCTCCATTTTGCCTCTTTATTGACAAAAAATTGGAAACAAAAACCCCAGTATTTTGCGATCGAGACTAGTACACAAAATGGCGATCGGTCGTCTGCGCTGCGTGGATTGGTAGATTCGTCGCCTGAATGCAGCGACCAAAATCGAATTGCACTTAAACACCGTTAACGGTATTGCGCATCGGTCATCGCACAAAAGAAACTTATACGGTAACACGTAAACCAAAATGGGGATCGCAGCAAAATGACGTCACGTTTCACAGCCATGGAAAAAGTGCTTTGAAAAATGGATATAAACCGGTAGAGCCGGGAAAAATGACTATGAATTTCAATTAGCGGGCATGGTTAAGAACATGACTGCATTTTCAACCAATCAGAAGACAGGATTAGTAAAGAATCTTAAAATGAGGTATATAATACCTTTAATGTAATTGTCAAAATATATCCACAACATAATGGTTTACCCTTGATAGTTTGATGAAGGAAAATAAATTAAAGCTCTTGAAATAACATCGAAGTGCCTTTCGTTCGTTCTAAAAATGCGTGTATAAAATTAACGGCAAGCAGAAGTTACGAGTCAAGCTTGATATGCATGTTTACATCCCTACACCGTCATCCGACCTGATCGGAACATTAAGCATTAAACCAATTAAAAAACATCACGTAAGACTTTAAGGGACTCCAATTCAACAAAATTACCGTAAAATAATTATTTGCTCTGACAAATAATACTATAGATATTCATAATATCTTACAGAAATAATGATATTTCATGAGCTACGTACTCGATATCGAGTTCAGCTAGCCATCATTTTGAAATAAGACGTAGTTGTCATGCAGTAGACTGTAGAGGGCGGTAATGCAGCAGAGAGAGGAAAAAGCGCGGGCCTGAGATCACGTGATATTCACGTGCCTATTACATGATTTTTTTTCCTCTCTGCGAGCTGCCGCATTCTCTGCATGACAACTACGTCTTATTTCAAAATGATGGCTAGCTGAACTCGATATCGATATGCGGCGGCGGCGGCGGTAGTGGTGGTGTTAGAGGTGGTGTTAGAGGTGATGCCATGGATGATGATGATAGTGGTGGTGAATGAAATGGTAATGACCCCGTGACATAGTGCAAGATAACTATTCCATATGTTTCATCACACACAATGTAAATTTTTCAAAATGTATAACTCAGGAGGATCCTTTCTTTTTAGAGGAGCTATACTAAATGTATATATATATATGTTAATATATTTTGAGATGTGTGAAAATTCACTTTAGAGAAAAACAAAAATTAGTATACTCTGTTTTCACAAATAGGTCTCCCTAAATAGACTAAGATGCTCCATCTTTAGAAAAACCAGATACCCACCCACTCCCCGTACTACTTTGCTTCTGGTATATTCTTCCTGACCCATCTGTGTCTGCACATATACGCAGAGTGTAGTCTAAGCTGCTGCGATACCATTTTACATTGTTGAATTCAACTCCCTGGTTTCACAAACAGGCCTTCCTAAAGAGACAAGGATGCTCCACCGGGAAGGGGAGGAGAACACCAGTCTACCCACCCATCCCCCTTACAACTTTGTCTCCGGCATCTTCTTCCTGACCCATCGGTGTCTGCAGCTAGGCTTCCAGACCTTGGTGGAACGGTTCTACACAATCAACCGTGAGCTTCACCACGTACAGCAAGCCTTCCAGGAGATGGTCCAACAGATGGGAGGACCTAGAGCGGGTCCCGTCATGTCACAGCTCCATGAAAGGATGGATAAAGGTAAGAACCTGGGGGGTGTTTCACAAAAATCCTAAGTTGAACTTCTAATGGAAAGCCATTAGCATCTTTAAAAATATTTTGTACAAGTTATTTTAAAAGGCATAAAATGTTGATTCAAATCATTCATATTCTCTATTATCAAGGAGATTTCATGTTCTTGATTTGGAATTTATGAAAAGTCTAAACTACTTGAATTTTTGCTTTTGAATATATTCTTTTGTAAGGCTACGAATGGCTCTCCATAATGTTTAAGTCCAACTTAATAGCTAGAGTTAGGTTTAACTTAGGATCTTTGTGAAACACACCCAGCTCTGCAATCTTTGTTCTACAGTGTACAATACAGTTAAGCCTGTGTATGAACACTACTCAAGGTAGACAAAGAACCAGCCTTTATGTACAGGTTGCTGAAATACATATTTCGATGAGAAACACAGTTTAAGAAAAACAAAAGGTTTGGTCTTCATAGATAGCTATTCTTTCTATACAGGTGGTTGCTAAAAGCTGGTTTCACTGTTGTATTTTAAAGTTTAACAACCTACACCTGACATCTATAACCTTATAATAATAGCTGCATTGACAACATGGAACAAGATCCCACTTTGTATCAGAGAAATTACTTGTCTTTCTTCTTTAGATAACACCAAATAACCGCTATGACAATAGTAATAGAACTTAAATTTTGTCTGCTCAGGGCTTAAAGGGTGCTAACTCATATCATTTAACATAGAGTTAACGCTCTTCTGACTCTCAACAGACAAGTTTCCTCCAGGTACCTTGTAACTGCGACTCTTCAATCAACATGAAAATGTACATGATTTACTGTTTGTACTTGCATTTGTATTGCAGTCAAACCTGTCTATAGCGACCACCCAAGGGAAACACAAAAAGCGGTCTTTGTAGACAGGTTCCTTTTAGTAGTACATGTTTCGATAAGAAACCATTTTCAAGGGAAACATTACAAATGTGTTCTTTGAAGAAAGGTGGATACTAAAGCAGGTTTGACTGTATATATTTTATCTCATTTTCTTGTCTTTGCTAGCCATGACATTATTCCTCAGCATCAAGACATCACTCCTTGAGCCTCAGTTCCTGGAGATGGCCTTCAACCTCCACATAGCAACGGCTCGCATTGTCACCCAGTATGCTACATCAGAAGATGTGACCTTACTGACCACACCCAGTCTGCCACTCCAGGGGGAACCCCCATCACAGCTTGTCACCATCCCGGAGTGCCTGGCAGAAAACCTTGTCACCTACCTTCAGTTCCTCCGGAGGTTTGCTGAGGCCAAGTTTGAAGACGGAGGTGAGAGCGCCCAGTTGTGCACAACTTCATGCTCTTTAGAGCGAGTTCTATCCACTTATTCAAGTCCCTATCCATTTGTTTAATGTGCCAAACATGGACCGTTATCATATGTGGTGCACATGTATCACACGTATACTTGAGCGCTGTACCAGTGTGCATTCTTAGAGCAGAGTCTCAATTGTTTTTGTTCATGTCCCAGAACTTATGCTTTATAAATGTGATATGATCCTATCCCGTTCTCAGTATCAACATTCTACTTTTTATCTAACCACATAACCAACATTATGATACTAGGGAAATGTACTACTCGGTCAAAGTACTTAGGCAATCCTGTGACTCGGTCAAAGCCAGTCAGTGTTTTGTGAAATGCTCTGTCAAGATTCATCATTGGATATTTTGTTCATATTGTCATTTACCCAGGTGAATCATTGAAGCATGTCATGACCTTTGTGACGGTGTTCATGGGTAATAAGAGTCACATGTCCAACCCTCATCTCCGAGCTAAGCTGGCTGAGATCTTAGAAGGTCTGATGCCAGAGGAGAATACTGGAAGCAGAAGCACCGTAGTCCCAATGTAAGTCTAGTCCTTATATATTGCAGTTCCTATGTGGGTCTCTAGTCTTCAGAAGCATCATAGTCCAGAACATTGTAGTCCAAACATGAGTCTAGTCTCTCAGAAAGTTGGAGTCCCAAAGTAGGTCTAATATTAGGCACATCATGTTTCCAGTATAAAACTAGTTCTTAGACATTGTAGTCCCGAAGTAAGTTAAGTTCTCACATGCATTGTAATGCTGATGTAAGTTATAGCTCTCAGACACATCTTTGCCTGTTGTTATACTAGCTCTCAAACACAGATTGCACCAGTGACATAGTACTGCACTTGGTTCAGGTGTACTGAGACTGAAAATGAAGACAAGATTTTGTTCATATACCCCTTTTGTGACTCAATCTGCATGTAATGCATACTATTCAATTTAATTCATATTAGGTTTTATTCAATCTCGTCAAAAAGTCCAAAGACTAAAAAGCGAGTTTACATCATACATGCAATTATATAAAAAAGCATTCAAAAACATATATATAAAAAGAAAGACATAGCAAATGGGAAAATATATATCGAAGTAAATAAATGCAGTAATCTATATAATTCCTCTGTAGCTTCCACCGGCAGAAAGCATTCAACGAGCACCCCCTCGGAGAGCACATCTCCCGCTCCCTCATCAGCATCTTTGTAGATATTGAGTTCACCGGAGATCCTCATCAGTTTGAGCAGAAGTTTAACTACCGTCGGCCCATGTACAAGGTGCTCAAGTATCTTTGGAGCATGCTTCAACACAGGACTCAGATCAAGGTAAGATGAAAGCACAGTAGTTTAGGACTTGGTTGCTTTCTTCGCCTCTCCAGGGGGTCATTAATTTGCCACACATCGATACTCTGGGTGACAATTGAGGTACAATATAAAAAAATTAAGATTTTCCCAAAAAATTCTTACTCAGTATTTCAGCAGTAGTGAGAAAAATGGAAGTTACATGTGATAACCTGTTCTTTTATTCCTATACATTTGTTCAAAAACTTTTTTCTGTGCATCCATTCTGTCATGGTTAAAACCAATCAAATACTAAATCTATCTGCGGGGGATTGTGATAAGTCAATAAACTTGTATAACATAGAATATATCAAATGTACATAATTAATACACAAGATTATCACAAAAAATAAACCTACATAAAACAAATGATATTAAATTAAAAGAAATGATCAGCAATTGGCTGCTTCTTCAATTACTTGAAAAATTAATGATATGTTAAACAGAATTTGTATTTATAAGAGTGATTCTGTGTTCATCTACCTGGGCCTATTTAAAAAATTGGGGACTAATTGTTCTTGTAATTTTCACTGATTCAATCTGTGTTCTATCTCAGTTGGTTGCGGAGGAGGCAATGTCACACATGGAGGATGCTAATGCTCCTCTCTTCTTGAAGTTCATCAACCATCTCATCAACGATTCCATCTTCCTCCTAGATGAAGCTTTAGATGTAAGTACAATCTTCCATCTTCTTACATGTATCTAAAGTAATGTCAAGTTCTGTAGAATTGTGTTAAAAGGCACCAAAGCCTCTTAAAGGATGTATTGGAGGGAAGAGTGGAAGGAACTAGACCGAGAGGGAGACCCAGAATCAACTGGGAAGAGAAAGTCAAGAACTGGAGTGGACTAAAACTGCAAGAGTGTAAGAGTGCACCAGAATGGCAGAAGATCGAGAGATGTTGCAATCAACCTCCGAACCGGGAGAAAATACTTAGATGGATAGAAAGTAATGTCCAGAGCTGCCAACCATTCCATTTTTGCCGGAATTACTCTGTTTTTTCCTCCAAATTACAGTATAACGTTTTTTCTTCATTAAATACTTTATTTTAAAATAACTTTTTAATGTTTTTTTTTAACGTCAATCAACTGCCCTAAATTTGTAATTTGATCACAAATTCAATAGAAACCTTATTTTTAATATTCTCAAAAAGAATGAAATGCCGATAATACCAAAATAACCACAAAAAAATACCTGCTTGGATGCAAAAACATCATGAGGAATGAACATTTCTGCATTGGAAGTGTGTCGCGCGTGTATAAACAAAATCCTGGATTCAGCTTATGTTACACTACAGTCTATTGGGGTAAATGAAGATGGTAAAACCGGTCACTCAAAGATTGACTTTTTTGAGGCGCTTCATGATCATTTTGAAATGCAATTTTTTCAGGGCTTCAATATTACACCATATCACATACACTGATAACACATAGGGCCATAATAACAATGCCTTAAAGAAACTATATTGCAAATATTACGCAAAAATTCCCTTTAATCCAATTGTAATTTTTATCTATATCCGACATTAATGATAAGAATAATAATAATACTAATCTTTTAGTCCACTCAAAATTTTATTAAACCAAAATGAAAATTCTTTTTGCCAAATTGATCGTGAGCCCAGCAGCCACTGAGCAGCGCCAGTTCGACGTTGCTCTATCCCTTATTGTTGAACGCCAAACAAGGTAGCAACAACTCCCCATCTTTTAACGTCTTTTGGTATGACGCGGCCGGGGTTCGAACCCACGACCTCCCGGTATTGGGGCTTGTTGATTATCTAATCCAAATCAAAAGCCTGCAGGAAACCCCAAGCTACCCCAATGGAAGAGGCATACAGCGAATGCTAGTCTTCTTAGAAATGGAAGATTGCTGCTGTTGGTGTAATGTATGTCACCTTAAATACATGACAACACCGAACAGATAATCGGTAGAGCAGCTCTCCGCATTGTCACTCTGACCTGACCCAGAAGTCTTTCGCCAGGAATTTGCACACGCTCAGATTCTAATAACATTTCTAATCAATTTTATAATTGTCTTAGTTTTTATAAATTGTGTTGGTTTGTTAACAATTTCATTTCTATGTTCTATCTTCTTGATGTTGTGATAGAAACTTAGGAAAAGAAAAAGATTATGTGAAAGTCTACTAAGAACAAACAATCTTTTTAGAGTGATTTATGAATATAAGATTTTCTATTTGTTTTGTTTATATATTCTTTATATTATTTCTTTATTGTAGTATGTGAAGAAAATCAAGGTACTTCAAGAGCAGAGGGAAGGGGGCGAGTGGCTGCGGCTACAACCAACAGAAAGGAGACAGCAGGAAGATTCCCTAAGACAAACTTGTGCCATCGCTAGGTTCTATAACATCATGTCCAATGAGACGATGAGTACTCTTGTCTACATCTCAAATGGTGAGGGGGGTTGAGAGTGAGTGAGCAAGTTAGTCAGTGGATGAGTAATTGGTCGAGTGATTGATTGAGCTTCTATAGAAAGTGGATGACCAAGTGAATGGGAGTTTTAAGAGTAAGTGAGTAGACGGTGGATGAGTGAGTGATTGGGATATAACTTGAGTGATTGAGCAAGCAAGTGAGTAAGCAGATGAGTGAGTGTGCAGATAAAGGAGTAATTAAGTGAGTGAGTGAGTGAGCAAGTGAGTGAGCTAGTAAGTTAGTAAGTGAGCAAGTCAGTTAAAAAACTGATTGAGTGAGGAGGTAAGTTAATTGATGAAGAAGTGAGTTAGTGAGTGAGTTGGAGAGTGAGTGAAAGGGTTAGTTAGTAAGTGATTGAGATAGTGAATGAGTGAGAGAATAGAAGGTGTGTAAGTGTGGAACATTTGATCGGTGACAGGTAAATCTGTTATATTTTAAATATAGCTATGCCAAGAAATAAAACTTGTATCTGTCTCAAACTTTGTTTCTGTGCAAAGATCTATGAGTAAAACAGGAATGATAGTAATAAATATATATATATATATTTCTTTGGTTTTTCTTCTGCAGAGATCACAGATATCTTCATACATCCAGTGATGGTCAATAGAGTGGCAATGATGTTCAACAACTTTCTACACAAACTGGTAAGTTTGTATAATGATAATATGAAGCTCGAATCATTTACATGGCATCATGTTGTTCTTTATCAATATTTTTAGCAGAAGAACTTGTCGTGGTTAAAAGTAGTAGTTGATTGTAGTAGAAGCATATTAGGGTTGTAATAGTATTAGCAGTATTAGAAGTGATATTAGTTGTAGTATTAGGAGGAGCAGCAGTAGTAGTGTTACACATAGAAGAATCAGTATTGGGAATGTAGGAGAATGAGCGTAGACTTATAATGAATATCATTCACTTCACCTTATCATTAGCATCATCCTCACAATATGTTCTTTTACTTGTACATCGTAAACTTTAGTCTTTATTTGCCACACAAATAACCTTTGTGTGCCACATTATATTTAGCATGGGATAAATATACCAAAGGCTTCAAGTTCTTTAACTGTTTCCAGTGCAAGATTAATCTATAATGGTGTTTAAAAGTTTGTCATGGAGCTAATCAAGGCCAGACAAGGATGCTGTTGCAAAGCCATTGTGTTGCATAAAGCAATACTTCTGTCCATTGGTGCCTATTGTTCTGTGCAAAATTGCACTTGTGGCAAACGAGCACCCGTGCACAGAGGCGAACATAGCAACGTAAAGCTCAAGTTGAGTTCTGGTCATGCAATTGCATTGTGAAAGAAACGGTGTAGATTCAATCAGAAAATGTTGATCATCTAGCATATATACATGTAAGTATTGGCGTGTACTGCAAGGTTCAGGAATCATCATAATGATCAGAAATTTGGCCCAGTCTTGGTTAAGTTACAAGCACTGTACACAGAAAGATGTATATGGGACTAGACGAAACATGTGGCATAAAAATCTGTCCTGATTTTTACGCTTGTTACATGCCATATTTAGAATATAAAGGCATTTGAAGAGCCATGCTTTTTTGGGAACATATTTTATCTGATGTTCTTCCACACTTGTATAATAACAATGATAACTCTAACAATATATTTTTCACCTCTTCCCATAGCTCAACCTTCTCTTTAAGTGTCAAATATCAACATTTTTTATCATCATTTGATGTTAATCAGGATCATCATCCCTTTTCTCTCCTGTCTCAAGGTCGGTCCAAACAAGATAGCGCTCAAGGTGAATGACTTTGAGGAGATTGAGTTCAACCCCAAGCAGCTGGTTAGGGATATCTGTCGGCTCTACATCAATCTGGGCCACGAGCAGCGGTTCTGCAGGGCGACCGCCGAGGATGAGGTTAATTACTCAGCCATGCTTTTCATCAGAGCAGAGAAGGTGCTTGATAAGATCAGTGTGTCTAGGGATATGATTGAGAAGATGAGGGAGTTTGCTGACAAGGTCAAGGTGAGATTAGATCAATTATTTTAAGTCCCATCTGCTGCAAACCTCAATTTATTTTAATTTTCATCATTTCAAACCTCACAGTATACATAGACGCTTTTATACAACACCTACGTGGATCCTTGTCATTTGATTGGAGGATTGTTGGTCACATGATATTCAATAGATGTTATATTGCACGGGCGTGCATTTTTGGTTATATGCAGAGTGCATTTTTGGTTATATGCAAACTGCGTACCTCTCTGCCATGGGCGTATCCCTGTGTGTATCTGACGCGAAGGCAATCTGAATGTACAGTAAGTAATCGAGAAGGCTTGACTCCAACTTTAATAAATATAAGGAGTAAAGCATAATTTGTTGATTAACGTTCTATTAGATCTTCTTTGATGTTGTATAAAAAAAATAATGAATGTTTTTCATTCGTTCAATAGTGCAAATATTTTCATTCGTTGAAAGATTAACGCTAATTTTATTCAACTCCGCTGACGCCTCGTTGAATAGAATGTTAATCTTTCAACTCATGAAAATATTCGCACTATTGAACTCATAACCATTCATTATTTATATAATATACTACATAATCAACCAACTTCATTTTTAAGAGCTACGTGTTTGTATTTTTTAAACTACCTGTGTGGAATGCCCTTCATTGTGGATTTTCATACTATTTTTATAACAATCTTTCTGAATTATTACAAAATTATCCTGTCACCTCACACTATAATACAAGAAACTAAAATGCAATAGTAATCACAAAAATTAGCTAAGCTTCAGGCATGAATGGTGCTGTATGGAAATCTTCCGTTCAACAATTGTTTGAATAATAATTGAGATTTGAAACGATACCCATGTATCACCCAGGTGTTAAATGGGTACCCGGTAGGGTGCGAAAGCTAATGTGCTAATAGATTAGCAAGTGTGCGCTTGTAAAAATGATGCACTGGCTGGAATGCTCCCCAGGGAATGGAGAATGTGCATACATTGTGTGCGGGTAAGCCTGAATCCGATGACCGGGGTAATAATATGATTGCAGGGCCCTCGGGGAGAACAGTATGAATACTGATGAGGCTACCCTGGGTAAACAAGACATATTATTATTATTATTATTATTATCATGTCATTTTTATTTCCCCCCCCCCCCCCAGGCTCTGAGTGAGACAAATGAGATGGAACAAGAGATGTTTGCAGATGCTCCTGATGAGTTCATTGACCCCTTGACCTTCAACATTATGGAAGACCCTGTGTCGCTTCCCACTTCAGACATGAACATCGATAGGTCAACGATAGCAAGGCATTTATTGAGGTGAGCCCAAACTTTGAAGTTTGAAGTTTATTTGTCCCCATTAACACAAAAAACAAGTCAGATTCATATAACAGGGACGCCAGTTTTCAGGCAAAGGCCTGAATTCAGGCCCTGGCAATTTATTTTCAGGCCATAGTTTTTGTTTATTGTGTACAAATAGCTTGTTCTTTGTGAATTTCAGGCAATCTGATCATTTCTAAATGGCATCCCTGATACTAAAAAACCGTTTAGATAACTTGAAGTAAAATGTACAGTTAATGGCAAGGTGTTTCAAAGGGAGTGTAAATGAAACAGGCAGGCAATATAAAAACAATGTTAAATGTGAGGAGCCTAAATAAAAAATGTGATACTTACGTAAAGGAACCAGAAATCCCTCTATATTTGCCTTCCCTGAAGTGGTAGTGATGTCGGTAAAATGCTCTGCCTTTATAACTTTCTACAAAGTTTGGCTGAGTGGAAGCAAAACTAAAAGCTGAGAGGTACACGATTTCTAAAAAAGCTGATTTTTATTTTTATTTTTTTATTTAAAAAAAAAAAAAAATTGAGATCACTATTCATTTGGAGATATGAATTGTAATTGTAAAAAAAAAGAGACATAACAAGTTTTGCTTTTTACACTAATGAAATGTTTTCTTTCATGACAAGAGCTCACTGATAATAATTAAGAATTAACATACATATTTTCTTTATTATTTTTGCTGCTTTATATGTAGTGATCAAATCGACCCATTCAACAGGAAACCGCTGACCATGGAAGAAGTACGATCAAATCCAGATCTCAAACTTCAGATTGAAACATGGAAACAGGAACAGAAGAACAAGAGAAAATAACATCAGCAAACTCATCAACTTCATACATGTACTCTCTTTCTTTCTAATGGTTTAATAATTTGTTTAAATGGTAAACATCACTGACTTCTTTTTGTTTGAAATGTTTCTTTTATACCAACAACATTTCTTATCAAAGCTTGTCAAAATGAACTATTTGTTAAATGATGTCGATGCACAAACTAGTATTTAAAGGTGGGGTGAAATCCAAATATTAGTTGATTCCTGTTGATGTGCAGGGCTGCCTACAACTCATAATTTGTTATTCAATCAAACATCTAAATATTTTTCATAGATTTTTGACTGAGCTGGAGGAAGTTGCATACCACTGTCTGTTGTTAGCTCATTAATGACTGACAGTTGATGTCAAAAGATGAATGAGATCTGGAACATTTGTTTAGGGTGGAGCTAATAGCAGGTCTCAGAAAATTATTTTTAAAAATAATTAAAATCTATGAAATATATTTAGATGTTTGAATAACAAAATATGAGATGTATGAAGCCCTGCACATCAACAGGAATCAACTTTAATATATTTGGATTTCACCTGACCTTTAATATTGACCTTCTTCCTGCCATGTTGTGCAGCTGCATGTGATAGCCACCTTCATGCTTCTGTATGGCTTTGATTTTAGAAAGAGATTTCTCTGTAAACTTGAGTTCTGGGAAAGGTGACAAATAATCATTTGTGAGTTTTTTCTTTCTCTTTATGTGAGTTTGGAAGAGTATCATAGAGAAAATGTCCCTTGAAAAGGAGGGTTCTTCAAATGCCCTCATATTCAAAATATATCAAGTAACAGCTAAAGGTTGTGGACCACAACTTTTATGCCACATGTTTATGTATCGTAGTCCCATATACACATTTCTGTGTAGAATGCATGTGTCTCTGTAGCAAGACTGAGCCAATGTCTCCACAGTGCACACCAATACCAATGTGGTACATGATCAACCGTCCAATCACTTCTACACAGTTTCAACCACATTGCAATTGCATGACCAGGGACCCATTTCACAAAGCCTTTTTTCAATGACAAATAAAATTCCGCTTTGATATAGCGCTTAATACATGTTCAATGTCTCTAAGCGCTTTACAGAACTATTACCCCGGTCATTGGATTCAATGCTTGCCCGCACACATTGTATGCACAATCTCCACTCCCTGGGGAGTATTCCAGCCAGGCATTAATTGACGCTCAAAACTGTTTGACCAACAATGACGGTCGCATCCTACCGGGTTCTCATTTAACACCTGGGTGGAGAGTAGCAAGTGCAGGTTAATATGTTGCCAAAGGATATTAGTGCCGTGTCGGGATTCAAACCCTCGACCTTTGCATGTCCAGTCAAACGCCACATGACGAAAATCAGTGACAAATCTGCTGATAACCAATCAGAAGCAAGGATTTCACTAGCTTCTAACAAAAACTGTCATTTGTCACTGATGACAAGTTTTTTTAATGGGGCCGCCAAGAACCTAAATGTCTTTAAATTATACTTAGTGTTGTTCTATCTACCGGTAATGACCTATTCTGTCAAATTTCTACAATTCTGCAAACTGGTCTATATTACAGGGATGGTTTGATACAGATCAAAATGCTTAATTTACACTTGTATCCTGAAAGGTTAGCATGTTTTGCAATTACAATACCTTACATTATTCAATATTATGGTGATGGGAATATTTTTAAAGGCTAAGAGAGCATAGTTAAAAAGTACATTCTGCACTGTACAGTTGGTCATGTATGCATAATTCATGTCAAGGCAACATGTACACAATTTCTTTCTTTTTGTTTCATCATATTTCAGTAACTTGCTTTGCATCAGTTGTTTTAGAAGTTGAACATTTGAATAGGGATATGTTGTGTATGGCAGTACTAAATCTTGCAGATCTTTAAATAAAAACGTGTAACCTTTAGTGTGTGGAGTTATTTAGAATGTACCCCTGTATAGTAAGATTTTATCTATTACCCGGTAATTGATATTACAATACAGTATACCATATGTACCGGTATTTTCAATAGGTTTGAACTGGTTCCAGTTTTATCTGGTTTGAACCAGTCTGCACAGGTTTAAAAGTCGATATGATAGTTTTGAGTCACTGCTCTTTCTTTGTGCAATACTTGGGGGAGTTATGATAAGAGCCAGTGAAAGAAAAAAAACACCAAATGATTTGAATTACACATGTATTTCTGTTACCAGGATTGGGTGTAATGCTATGGTCACATTACCCAAAATTAGCCTGCTCGGCGGCCGAGCGGCAAGTTTTTAACCAATTCTGCCCGGGGGCTGGCCGGGCCCCGAGCGGCGGCCACCCAGGCACCGCTTGTTTTTAGGGCATTGCTCGGTCGCCGCTGAAGCTTTAGCGCGGAGTTAAAATTTGGGCGGCGTCTGCTCACTTTTCACTCGCCGCCCAAAATACGCTCCCTGGGCGATGCCTAATTCCAGCAGCGACCGAGCAGGCTACTGATCGGTCGGTCGCTGCTCTGATTTGTGACCATAGCTTTAGTATCAACAATTGTCATTCCTAAATATTATGATAAATGTGAATGCAAAGAAATTATTCTTGCTGATAGCAACTTTTTCATATTTCTCGTAACATTCTTTTCATGTTCAAGTTGTATCATGTTATCTGCTGCCCTAATGACTCTCTCTTTTTTTTGGGGGGGGGGGGGGGATTTATCTATGTATTTTATCTTTATTCCCATTCAATTTTTCTTTTACATTTAGAAATGTAGCAAATGTAAATGTTTTGTAAAGTTTAACAATTGACATATCCATGCTCTATATGTTTTCCATCATGAACATTCATGATTTTTAACCTCAGTATACTCAACTTCTTACTCTTGCTGTCAAAACACATTTGATAAAGTAATCTTTCCTATACTGAGATTACTTTTACTTTGTCAAGAAATGTCTATAATATAAGTTGTACTCTCCATAGAAGTATTGATTTGGTCATTTAATATTTACATATATTTTTGCTCATATTATTTTGATTTAAGAATTTTATCACAAATATTTATAGGCTTAGGCATATTTGGGACATGGTTTGCCTGTACGATTGTAAAATTAAGAATAAATCTGTGTATATTTTATTCAGAACCATGGTACTCAGATAATAAATCTAAATAATTGTAAGACAAAATGTGTGATCTTTTTGCGGTCCTTATTTGGAGAGAGAGAGGATATATTAACAATTTCACTCATAATGTTGCATTTACATGGCTATTTATGACTCACTCTTATGATATACTGGTGCACTTGATAATATGATGAGGAATGACTTATATTTAGATGATTTTGAAGATGTGATGCTGAGGAGGACTAGCGATTAGGAGGACTAGGAGGAGGAAGCAAGAGTGATGATGTATAAAGACGATGAATACACATGAGATTATTTTTATATCAAAAATGTATAAGTATGATGGTGATGATTAAAAAGTGAATGATGGATGATGATTGTCAAAGTAATGATGATGCTGCTGCTGCTGATGATGATGATAATGATGGTGAAGATAATTGGGATGCTGATGTAGCCTGTGGTGAAAGGGCCTTTTCAGCTGCAGGACCTTCTCTTTGGAATAATTGACCATTTAATTTTAGAATCACAACTTCCTTAGAGACCTTAAATCCAAGCTTAAATCTCATCTTATTAAACTATATCTGTACTTTGCACTATGACTCGTCCAAACTCTCTTATTTTAATTCTAATTTTCTTGTGCGCCTCGATAACAAACAAATTGTCTATAGAAGAAGCTCATGCAAAGAAGAATTTCAGAAGAAGAAGAAGATCGAAGAAGAATTTAAGAAGAAGAACAAGAAGAACATTGAAGAAGAACAAGAAGAAAAATTATAAAGCTAGGAAAAGAAGCTGGAAGAAGAAATTGACCAAACTCTCTTATTTTAATTCTAATTTTCTTGTGCGCCTCGATAACAAACAAATTGTCTATAGAAGAAGATCATGCAAAGAAGAATTTCAGAAGAAGAAGAAGATCGAAGAAGAATTTAAGAAGAAGAACAAGAAGAACATTGAAGAAGAACAAGAAGAAGAATTATAAAGCTAGGAAAAGAAGCTGGAAGAAGAAAGATCAAAATGAGGAAGAAGAAAATAGATTATTCATAATTTATTTGCCTGTTCAAAGACATCATAGGCATTGAATGGCACGAAATCTAAACCGAAGTGGTAGATCTAGTCAAAGTGATTTGAAGTTCTTGTAGAAAATGGAAGGACAACGTTACAAGATGTCAGGTAAAGTTATAGTCAAGGTATTTTATGAAATGGGTCGTAAGTCGAAGGTTTCTTTTGGAATTATATCCAATGATCAATTCAATACACAGGTGCAGCTCAGCATTAGTCTACAGCTAGCAGCACAGCAGTCTCGACCCTGGCGGGCAGGGCAGGGCCGCCAGGGCGGCCAGGCTAGCCAGCCAACGTATGAAGGGGTGACCAAAGAGTTCGCGGACATTTTAGAACATATTACAAAATGTGATATTCGATCTATGATTTCTCATATTCTACACAAATTTATTTATTTCAATTATTAACAAAATGGACGGCAAAGTTTTTTACTACAGATTGATGGAACTTTTATCGTCGAAGGATTTCGGAGATATCGCGATCTAAAAATTTGATGTTCGATCGTGCGTGCGCGCTGCATTTAAAAAAATCATAATAACAATGAGAGCTACATGTAACTTCACGCACGGGGGTTTACAGTTGATTTATCAAAAAATGTGATCAAAAATAAGGTAATATCATAATTTGCAAGGCAATATAGGGTAGCGCGCCCAGTATTCGGTCCATTCCCAGTATTCGGTCAGACAGCCGTTTCACTTTCAACAGCTGTAACAATTTAAAAAATAATTAATGAGCCGCGAAACTTGCACAAATCAGGCAGCTGAACAACTTTTCTTAACTCTCAAAATTAAATCAGATATAGGATCTAGGGCCCCGGAAAGATCTCTAACTTAGCTCGAAATTGGTCAGTGTCGCACCACTTTCTGCACTTCCGCGTTCTGTTAGCACATGCGCTAACATGCATAGCCATATGTAGAAGTCTATTGCAAAATAACTTTGTGTGCTGTCGCAATGAATTTAGTATGTGTGTGAAGAGGAGCTCTTCCGTGTTCGCTCCTCGCAGCGAATTTGCAAATGACGCACTTGCCGATGTGCAAGAGGTATTTATACGATACCCTTGCCATGCGGTATAGGTATCGCTCGTCCAGTATTCGGTCAACGCATTGACAATCAGTGCTTTATCGCGCAAATGTGTGAAAATAGCGCGCAAATACGCTTCGCTCCTTTGCAACGGAGATTCCACGCACAAATCGCGTGACCGAATTCTAATCGGCGCGACCGAATTCTGGGCAGAAAAATGCTCCGTCTTCTTTCGGAAATATTTTTCTTATCATCATTCTTTATTTTAAGTGACTATAAAATCCTGTTAGAGGAATATTTTTCCGTTCTTTTGATGGGTAGATTGCAAAATAAAAGAGGTAAGAATTCAAAATATTAGTGATTTCCCCTTAAGTGACCGAATACTGGGCACTCTACCCTATCATACAATCAGTTGGTACCACTTTTTACTTACAATTTTGAGGAAATCTGCTCTCAAATTGAAGATTTTCAGACCCTAATAATATCGGTAAGTTGACATTTTTTCGGAACGGACGCAAAAGATTGCAAAATTTGCTGATCTTTTGTCTATATCTTCACAATATCGTACCCAATTCCAAAGAAAATTTCATCTTTGTGTAATTTTGTGTTCCTCTTTCCATTGGCATTGCATTGGTGACTTCAGATTTTCGAAATCTTACTGATTTTTTGAGATAGCGAACTTAGGTCACGCAAACTTTGTTTGGTCACACCACCATACTAAAAATGTGAGGGGTAGAAGCGAAGTAAGATTAGAAACGCATGATGCGAGGCCGCTTTTAGTAGCGAGTACACTGGCAAAATTTTGCTTAACCCCGTACTATAGGTGGGGTTAATGGGGGGGGGTCTTGGCCCCACCTATAGTACGGGTTAAGCCTATTCCACTTTCTGTTCAGACTCGTATTTACCAACGTGGGCTAACCCCCGGCCCTCCTCAGTACGGGGTTAACTAACCCTGCAAAATATCAGGGCTATCTACGCAATTGTGGCGCTAACTCCTTCTAACCCCGCAATTGCGGTGCCAAGCAAATGAATGAGAACAGAAACGAAAAATAGTCCGGTACTACGCAATGGAGCGTATCGCAGCTGGCCAGATGCGAAGTAAGGAGCACACTGTCTAATCATATAGTCCGGGGCTAAGAATTGCAGTGAGAACAGCATGAATTTTCTTATTCCAGAATAGGCGCTAGTACATGCGGGCTGCCATTTTGGATTATAACGCATACCTACATTATAATCCAAGATGGCGACCCGCATGTTTTGCCTCTGCTCTTAGACCAATATCATTACTTTCAAAGTCTTGAAAAGGCACTAAATATCAACAAACATGGTCTACAACAACTCCAAATGACAAAATAATCCCAGCCATGAATTTTTTTTGAGCATTTGACAGCCAAAAACTTGAAAATTTTTGTCATTAAAAAAAAAAAAAAAAAAAGCTGATTTTTTTGGTCGATCTTCCGATCCGATACCGATCAAAGGTGCGTGGGTGTCGCTCCGATCTTCCGATCCGATCAGAGCCCCAACTTACAGGGTTATGTAAAAATACATTTTCTTCCAAGCATCAGTAAAAACTTTGGCTTCACATCAGAATGCACACAACTATATTTAGGTTACTGCCTTGAAATGGTTTTCCAAAAAAATAGTCATGAATATACATTAAGTCTTGGGGAGGCGATACATGTAGGTGCTCTACTAAAAAAAGGTCCAATGGGGATGTTTTTCATTAGTTGGACTAGGAACAGTTTTTAAAGTGGTCGGGTTCGGATATGGAGAGTATCATCATTCTGACCCATTTCCAAACGTTCCGTTTATGTATCTCCTAAAAGAATAATTGGTTACAATACAAGTGGCATTGTGTTTAAAAGGCTTTATTTCCCACGGAATCCCTATTCATGCAGAGTCAGTAACATTTTAATCCTTACCAATTTATATATTTTAGATGAACCAGTGAACAGCAGGGAGGAGCAGCCAAAGGTTCAAATTGAAAATTGGATTTGAGATTTACCTTATCAAAGAAGAAGAGATAGAAGAAACTTCACTTCAACAGAATGGTGAGAAAGTTATATTTTACAATTAGGCACAGGGAGGCCTGAATAGAAAACATGTGAAGAGAGAACCGCTTTGGAAATTTTAAAGTTAAGTGACAATCATGTAATATTAGATTGGAATAGAGGAGATGAAATGGCAACACCAATAAATAAAACAAATTGAAAAATACATTTATAGTTGGAGTGGAACTAGGAAGTTACAGGTTTTAAAATAAGCATGCCATTGCTCTGTTTTTGACTTGCATTAAAAAAAAAGGGGGCAATAAAGATGTTGTCTTTTTTAAATTTTGCAGTAATACCAATTAAAATGTAGAAGAAAAAAGAACAGTTATCATTCAGCCAGTTTGTAGTTACATTTTGTGCATGTGCAGTAAAGGTCATTTGTGCCAATTACAAATTGCCTGTATAGTGTATGAGCTATGGTGGACACACCAGTATGAATTACATTGTTAAACAGGTAGCATGTCCATCAAAACAGATGCACATACACAAACTGTTTCAGATCTTTTGTACCCCCCACTGATTAGAAACTACTTTTGATATCTATAATTTATCTGATTGCATATATGTACATATATGTCTTCCTTTTTCACCAGATGTTTGTTGCAGCTCTAAAAACGCTTCAGATGATTTGGACTGTCAGGAGAAGATATCAGAAGCCCAGTTATCAGAGGATGGATGTTTAGAGGTTGACAGCGAGGGAGCATCTGAAGGAGAACATTTAGAGAAGGAAGATCATGAGGATTCTGAATCAGGATGGCTTCCCGTTTTAGAAGGTATCTCTCCCGTCTCTCAAGACTCCAGCCAAGTTCTACCCAGCATGGAGAACAGTAGCCAGAGTGAAAGAGAGCTAGATGAATCCATGAATGATCCAACGAATTCTCCTCCTACCCGTGATGAAGATTCTACAGGGAAACAGGGATTTGACTGCACCAAGTGTAAAAAGAGATTTTCTGTTGAATCTGATCTTGGATCTCATGTGATGACGTGCTGTGGAAACCTATCTACTCAATGTCCAGTCTGCAAGAAGATTTTCGCGTCAAAGTCGAATCTAGGAAAGCACATGAGACTTCATACTGGGGAGAAACCATTTGAATGTGGTGAATGTGGAATGAGATTTACTTTGAAGCAACATCTAGTTTACCACCAGAGAACACACACGGGTGAAAAACCCTTTAAGTGCACAGAATGTGGTAAAGGTTTTATCGAAAAGTCTGTCCTAAAAGTTCATTTTAGAAGACATGGAGGTAACGAACCTTTTCAATGCTCTTATTGTGACAGGAAACTGAATTCCAAGAGAGATCTCATGAGACATGAGAGAACACATACTGGTGAGAAACCCTTTAAGTGCTCAGAATGTGGTAAAGGATTTTCCCAAAAAAGTAACCTAACATTGCACTTTAGAAAACATGGAGGTAATGAAGCTTTTCAATGCTCTTATTGTAGCAGGAAACTGAATTCCAAGAGTGATTTCATGAGACATGAGAGAACGCATACTGGTGAGAAACCTCATCCTTGCTCTTCATGCAGTAAACGATTTTCAAGAAAACATCAACTTTTGGTTCATGAAAGAACACACACGGGTGAAAAGCTCTTTCTATGCTCAGAATGTGGTAAACGATTTTCAAGAAAACAAGAACTTTTGAGACATGAAAGTAAAGTACACCTGAAAGCAAAGAGTCCCAAAACGTCCAAAGACTTTAACAATGACAGTGCTGTGTCTTTTCAAAAGGACCTCGATAAACGGAAGGCATGCAGTGATAAGAGTTCTTATCAATGTCGTGAGTGCAACAAGAAATTTAAAACAAAGATGAGTTTCACGAAACACATGAAAGAGCATACAGGAGATAAGATCTATCAATGCGGTGAATGCAAGAAGGGTTTCACTTCAGAGTCTGGTCTCAAAGGACATATGAGAATACACACAGGTGAGAAGGTTTGTCAGTGTACTGCATGTAAAAATACATTTTCTTCCAAGTACCAGTAAAAACTTTGGCTTCACATAAGAATGTACACAACTACATTTAGGCCACTGCCTTGAAATGTTTTTCCCCCAAAATAGCCATGAATATACATTAAGTCTTGGGAAGGCGATACATGTAGGTGTTCTACTTAAAAAAGTTAAGTGACAATCATTTATTTTTTGATTGGAATGGAGGAGGCAAAATGTCAACACCAAAATTACCCCCAAAAAGTACATTTATAGTTGGAGTGGAACTATGAAGTTACAGGTTTTAAAATCAGCATGCCATTGCTCTGTTTTTGATTTGCATTTAAAAATATCAATATGTATGTATGTATGTACTAGATTTAGGAAAATCAAGGTTGACGCATTCTCGATCGCCGACTGAGACGACGTAACGCATGCGCAGTGCCTTAAAATGATGTCACACGTTGCAGTCAAAGCTGTCGACGTGCAAATCTAAAAGTCCCTAATATCTTCTTCTACTTGTACAGTGTCAACTTTACTCTTCATATGCCACATTAATAATCTTTGTGTGCCACATTATATTTATCATGGGATAAATATACCAAAGGCTTCAAGTTCTTTAACTGTTTCCAGTGCAAGATTGATCTATAATGGTGTTTAAATTAAAGGTTTGTCATGGAGCTAATCATGACCAGATATGTATGACTTGCAAAGCCATTGTGTTGCGTAAAGCAATACTTCCGTCCATTGGTGCCTATTGTGCAAAATTGCACTTGTGACAAACGAGCGACCATGCACAGAGGCGAACATAGCAATGTAAGTGTCAACTATCATCATCATCATCATCATCATCACCATCATCATCATCATCATCATCGTTTGATGTTTATCAGGATCATTGGTGCCTATTTTTTTGTGACAAAAGAGCACCCATGCACAGAGGCGAACATACTGGAACATAGCAACTGAAGTATCAATTATCAACATCATCATCATTTAATGTTTATCAGTATCATCATCCCTTTTCTCTCCTGTCTCAAGGTCGGTCCAAACAAGATAGCGCTCAAGGTGAATGACTTTGAGGAGATTGAGTTCAACCCCAAGCAGCTGGTTAGGGATATCTGTCGACTCTACATCAATCTGGGCCACGAGCAGCGGTTCTGCAGGGCGACCGCCGAGGATGAGGTTAATTACTAAGCCATGCTTTTCATCAGAGCAGAGAAGGTGCTTGATAAGATCAGTGTGTCTAGGGATATGATTGAGAAGATGAGGGAGTTTGCTGAGAAGGTCAAGGTGAGATAAGATCAATTATTTTAAAGGTAAAGACCAGTTATGGTCATGCGATTGCATTGTGAAAGAAACGTTGTGGAATCGATCAGAAAAGGTTGATCATCTAGCATCTAGCATCTGCAAAGTTCTGGAATCATCAAAATGATAAGAAATGTGGCCCATTCTTCGTAAAGTTACAAGCACAATACACAGAAAGATGTATACGGGACTACCCTATATCTCTCACAGACCATGAGAGAAACAAATTTACCAAATATATGAATTAGTAGGCGGTTTCCCGGCAAATTTTTTATCATTATGTATTAGTCAAAACATATTCTTTCACATGATTGGTAATGAGAGCTTCCATTTCATTTTTTGAAATTGGGGCGTTTCCAATACTGGTCTTTACCTTTAAGTCCCATCTGCCGCAAACCTCAATTTATTTTAATTTTCATCATTTCAAACCTCACAGTATACATAGACGCTTTTATACAACACCTACGTGGATCCTTGTCATTTGATTGGAGGATTGTTGGTCACATGATATTCAATAGATGTTATATTGCACGGGCGTGCATTTTTGATTATATGCAGAGTGCATTTTTGGTTATATGCAGACTGCGTACCTCTCTGCCGTGCGCGTATCCCTGTGTGTATCTGACGCGAAGGCAATCTGAATGTATGAAATCAAGAAGGCTCGACTCCAACTTTAATAAATATAAGAAGTAAAGCATAATTTGTTGATTAACGTTCTATTAGATCTTCTTTGATGTTGTATAAAACAAATAATGAATGTTTTTCATTCGTTCAATAGTGCAAATATTTTCATTCGTTGAAAGATTAACGCTAATTCTATTCAACTCCGCTGACGCCTCGTTGAATAGAATGTTAATCTGTCAACTCGTGAAAATATTCGCACTATTGAACTCATAACCATTCATTATTTGTATAATGTACTACATAATCAACCAACTTCATGTTTAAGAGCTACATGTATGTGTTTTTATTTGTTTAACTACCTGTGTGGAATGCCCTTCATTGTAAATTTTCATAATAACAATCTTTCTGAATTATTTACAAAATTATCCTGTCACCTCACACTATAATACAAGAAACTAAAATGCAATAGTAATCTCAAAAATGAGCTAAGCTTCAGGCATGAATGGTGCTGTATGGAAGTCTTCAACAATTGTTTGAATAATAATTGAGATTTGAAACGATACCCATGTATCATGTCATTTTTATTTCCCCCCCCCCCCCTCCAGGCTCTGAGTGAGACCAATGAGATGGAACAAGAGATGTTTGCAGATGCTCCTGATGAGTTCATTGACCCCTTGACGTTCAACATTATGGAAGACCCTGTGTCGCTTCCCACTTCAGACATGAACATCGATAGGTCAACGATAGCAAGGCATTTATTGAGGTGAGTCCAAACTTTGAAGTTTGAAGTTTATTTGTCCCCATTAACACAAAAAACAAGTCAGATTCATATAACAGGGACGCCAGTTTTCAGGCAAAGGCCTGAATTCAGACCCTGGCAATTTATTTTCAGGCCATAGTTTTTGTTTATTGTGTACAAATAGCTTGTTCTTTGTGAATTTCAGGCAATCTGATCATTTCTAAATGGCATCCCTGATACTAAAAAAACGTTTAGATAACTTGAAGTAAAATGTACAGTTAATGGCAAGGTGTTTCAAAGGGAGTGTAAATGAAACAGGCAGGCAATATAAAAACAATGTTAAATGTGAGGAGCCTAAATAAAAAATGTGATACTTACGTAAAGGAACCAGAAATCCCTCTATATTTGCCTTCCCTGAAGTGGTAGTGATGTCGGTAAAATGCTCTGCCTTTATAACTTTCTACAAAGTTTGGCTGAGTGGAAGCAAAACTAAAAGCTGAGAGGTACACGATTTCTAAAAAAGCTGATTTTTATTTTTATTTTTTTATTAAAAAAAAATAATAATTTGAGATCACTATTCATTTGGAGATATGAATTGTAATTGTAAAAAAAAAGAGACATAACAAGTTTTGCTTTTTACACTAATGAAATGTTTTCTTTCATGACAAGAGCTCACTGATAATAATTAAGAATTAACATACATATTTTCTTTATTATTTTTGCTGCTTTATCTGTAGTGATCAAATCGACCCATTCAACAGGAAACCGCTGACCATGGAAGAAGTACGATCAAATCCAGATCTCAAACTTCAGATTGAAACATGGAAACAGGAACAGAAGAACAAGAGAAAATAACATCAGCAAAATCATCAACTTCATACATGTACTCTCTTTCTTCTAATGGTTTAATAATTTGTTTAAATGGTAAACATCACTGACTTCTTTTTGTTTGAAATGTTTCTTTTATACCAACAACATTTCTTATCAAATCTTGTAAAAATGAACTATTTGTTAAATGATGTCGATGCACAAACTAGTATTTAAAGGTGGGGTGAAATCCAAATATAAGTTGATTCCTGTTGATGTGCAGGGCTGCCTACAACTCATAATTTGTTATTCAATCAAACATCTTAATATTTTTCATAGATTTTTGACTTAGCTGGGGGAAGTTACATACCCATGTCTGTTGTTAGCTCATTAATGACTGACAGTTGATGTCAAAAGATGAATGAGATCTGGAACATTTGTTTAGGGTGGAGCTAATAGCAGGTCTCAGAAAATTATTTTTAAAAATAATTAAAATCTATGAAATATATTTAGATGTTTGAATAACAAAATATGAGATGTATGAAGCCCTGCACATCAACAGGAATCAACTTTAATATATTTGGATTTCACCTGACCTTTAATATTGACCTTCTTCCTGCCATGTTGTGCAGCTGCATGTGATAGCCACCTTCATGCTTCTGTATGGCTTTGATTTTAGAAAGAGATTTCTCTGTAAAGGAAATGTTGAGTTCTGGGAAAGGTGACAAATAATCATTTGTGAGTTTTTTCTTTCTTTTTATGTGAGTGTGGTAGAGTATCATAGAGAAAATGTCCCTTGAAAAGGAGGGTTCTTCAAATGCCCTCATATTCAAAATATATCAAGTAACAGCTACAGGTTGTGGACCACAACTTTTATGCCACATGTTTATGTACCGTAGTCCCATATACACATTTCTGTGTAGAATGCATGTGTCTCTGTAGCAAGACTGAGCCAATGTCTCAGTGCACACCAATACCAATGTGGTACATGATCAACCTTCCAATCACTTCTACACAGTTGCAATCACATTGCATGACCAGGGACACATTTCACAAAGCCTTTTTTCAATGACAAATAATAATATTTCGCTTAGCGCTTAATACATGTACGAAGTCTCTAAGCGCTTTACAGATATACTATTACCCCGGCCATTGGATTCAATGCTTACCCGCACACATTGAATGCACAATCTCCACTTCCTGGGGAGTATTCCAGCCAGGCATTAATTGACGCTCAAAACTGTTTGACCAACAATGACGATCGCATCCTACCGGGTTCTCATTTAACACCTGGGTGGAGAGTAGCAAGTGCAGGTTAATATGTTGCCAAAGGATATTAGTGCCATGTCGGGATTCAAACCCTCGACCTTTGCATGTCCAGTCAAACGCCACATGACGAAAATCAGTGACAAATCTGCTGATAACCAATCAGAAGCAAGGATTTCACTAGCTTCTAACAAAAACGGTCATTTGTCACTGTTGACAAGTTTTTTTAATGTGGCCAAGAACCTAAATGTCTTTAAATTATACTTAGTGTTGTTCTATCTAATGACCTATTCTGTCAAATTTCTACAATTCTGCAAACTGGGCCCCGTCTTACAAAGAGTTACGATTGATCCAAATCAATCGTAAGTCCTCCAATCAATCGCAAGTTTGCAGTCTCCTATCTCTTATGTACATAGTTACGATTGATATCAATCGCAAATAAGTTACGATTGATATCAACTCTTTGTAAGACGGGGCCCAGGTCTATATTACGGGGATGGTTTGATACAGATCAAAATGCTTAATTTACACTTGTATCCTGAAAGGTTAGCATGTTTTGCAATTACAATATCTTACATTATTACCTGTATCAGACATCTGAGCTGGTCATTTACAAAACCGTATTGCCCTAGTTTTCACTAGCAGTGGGAACGGAGGGGTATATTCTTTGTATTTTCCTTGGTCTCCCTGCGCGTATTGACTTTGCGTGTAGAGAAGAGTGAAAATATACCTTGGTATTTTCCACGGTCTCGCATTTTCATTGCGCATCTATTAATATTATGCGTACGAGAACCTGCGCACTTTGCGCGCACTCTATTGTGACGTAATAATCACACCAAATACACACTGTTTGTAGTGTATCGAAAATTTTGTCAAGCACTGGATGCACAGTGTTGGTTTGACAAAGTTTGTTCAGTTCTTGAGATTGTCATGGTGGATGTCTGTATTTGCTCTAGACGTCTGATTTGGATAACAATAAAAATATTGACTGGCTTTACTTTCGGGGGATATCAGAAATATTGACCGCGCTAAGACCATATTGCCCTCGTCTTTCGACTCGGGGCAATATGATCTGAGCTTGGTCAATATTTCTGATATACCCCTCAAGGCCAGTCAATATTATATAATTATTCAATATGTATGGTGATGGGAATATTTTTAAAGGCTAAGAGAGCATAGTTAAAAAGTACATTCTGCACTGTACAGTTGGTCAGGTATGCATAATTCATTTTAAGCAACATGTACACATTTCTTCTTTTTTTGTTTCATTATATTTCAGTAACTTGCTTTACATCAGTTCATTTAGAAGTTGAACATTCAAAGAAATAGGGATATGTTGTGTATGGCAGTACTAAATCATTGCAGATCTTGAAAAACGTGTAACCTTTAGTGTGTTTAGAATGTACCCCTGTATAGTAAGATTTGATCTATTAATTGATATTACAATATAGTATACCATATGTACCAGTATTTTCATTAGGTTTGAACTGGTTCCAGTTTGATCTGGTTTGAACCAGTCTGCACAGGTTTAAAAGTTGATATGATAGTTTTGAGTCGCTGCTCTTTCTTTGTGCAATACTTGGGGGAGTTATGATAAGAGCCAGTGAAAGAAAAAAACACCAAATGATTTGAATTAAACATGTATTTCTGTCACCAGGATTGGGTATAAATATAAACAATTGTAATTCCTAGAAATTATGATTATGTGAATGTAAAGAAACTATTCTTGCTGATACTGATAGCAGGGAGGTGTTGCTGATAGCAACTTTTTCATATTTCTCGTAACAACTTTTCCATATAAAATGAAAATAAGACTATGTTCATGTTGTGTCATGTTATCTGCTGCCATATTGACTCTCTTTTCTTTTCTTTCTTTTTTGGGGGGGATATTTACCTATGTATTTTATTTTTATTCCCATTCAATTTTTCTTTTACATTTAGAAATGTAGCAAATTGTAAATGTTTTATAAAGGTTAACAATTGATATATCAGTGCTCTAAATGTTTTCCATCATGAACATTCATGATTTTTAACCTCAGTATACCCGACAAACTTCTTACTCTTACTGTCAAACACACATTTGATAAAGTACTCTTTCGTATACTGAGATTACTTTTACTTTTACTTTGTCAAAAATTGTCTATATTATAACTTGTACTCTCCATAAAAGTATTGATTTGGTCATTTAATATTTACATATATTTTTGCTGATATTATTTTGATTTAAGAATTTTATCACAAATATTTATAGGCTTAGGCATATTTGGGACATGGTTTGCCTGTAAGATTGTAAAATTAAGAATAAATCTGTGTATATTTTATTCAAAACCATGTTACTCAGAATAGATAATAAATGAATCTAGACAATTGTAAGACAAAATATGTGATCTTTTCACGGTCCTTATTTGGAGAGAGAGAGATGATGATATTAACATTTTCATTCGTAATGTTGCATTTACATGGCCATTTATGATTCACTTGTATGATGAGGAATGACTTATATTTAGATGATTTTGAAGATGTGATGCTGAGGAGGACTAGCGATTATTAGGAGGAGGAGGAGGAAGAAGAGAGAGTGATGATGTATAATGATGATGAACAAAAATGTTGAAGTATGATGGTGATGATTAAAAAGTTAATGATTAATGATGGAAGATGATTGTAAAAGTAATGATGCTGCTGCTGCTGCTGATAATGATGATGATGATGATGATGATAATGATGGTGATAGTGAAGATAATTGGGATGATGATGATGTTGGAGAAGGAGAGGACTGAGGATTGTACCAGTTAAGGTCAATTAGGCTACAGCAAGCACTCTACCTAACAAATAGCGTTTTTCAAATGCAAAGTCTATAGCTATTTTGAAGCTTTTAGCAATAGAAAATTCATAATTTATTTGCCTGTTCAAAGACATCATAGGCATCATAGAATGACACCCACGAAATCTAAGTTGAAGTGGTACTAAAACTGTGAATTTGAAGTTCTTGTTGAAAATGGAGGGACAACGTTGCAAGATGTCAGGTAAAGCTATAGTCAAGGTGTTTAATGAAATGGGTCGTAAGTTAAAGGTTTCTCTTAGAATTATATTGAATGATCAATTCAATACACAGGTACAGCTCAGCATGAGACGTCATCGCGTCAGTAGCAGCGCAACAGTCTCGACCCGGGCGGCCAGGGCGGCCAGGCTAGCCAGCTCCAGCGATCTCACTAAAATGCGAGGGGTCGAAGTAAGATTAGAAACGCGTGATGCGAGGCCGTTTTTAGTAGCGAGTTCGCGTTCGCCGAGTCTAGATTCTTATTACTCTATTCTTAGCCCCATGTAGACAGAAATAACCATCTGATTTGGGTCATTTCTTTAATAAAACTGACATTTGTTTACATTCCCCATCTATAGATCTACAGATGCCATGCCCATGGTCTAGATCTAGACTAGATCTCTAGATCTAGATCTAGACTAGGTAGATTTCTTAGACCTATGTGAATAAAAAAATAAAAATTGTGGGATTACATTGTATCTTATATCATTGGAAAGGGCTTGAAAAACCATTTAAAATGGTATATAAACCATAGCTCTAGGACAAATATTTAGCGAGTTATGATTTTTTTTAAAGATTAAAAATCTGATTTAATTATCGCCATTGTTTTACCATTGAGACCTCTCAAAATCTGTGACCGACCATGACCAATATAAAGGATGGTCTTATCAAAAATGTAAAAATTATTCATTTATCTAGATAAAACCTTAAGGAAAGAACATGTGATAGGGGAAGAAAACCAATATTGTATTATTTGATGTACTATAGAAGTCTAGACCCTTCTATAATTAATTAGTAATTAGCAATTAGCAAATTAATTAGCTAATTAGTCGTTAATGAACTCACTGCCACAAAAAGACAGACAAATTTCCGTAATTTCCTGACAATCAATTTTGAGGAAGTAAAAAAACAATGATTGTATGTTCCGATTTGATTTATATTCATCAAGTAACGAGAAAAATGTATAAATAAACGAATTAAATTAGTTTTAGAACTATTAAAACTTATCTTCAGGGAAGATTACGATGGTAAAGATGACATTGAACTTTGACTTGAACAAAAATGCACTTTCACATGTCCGTTTCTGAAAATTCGAAGTCGAGGCGAAAGGAAGTTTTTCCAATGACGTCATCAGACAAGCAAGCCAAATCTGGCGAGAAACCGCCGTTTCCACACGCAATCAAAGAGGAACCCTGCAGAGTAACTCGTATTGGGCGTGAAACCGCTGCCGGGCACGCTGAAACCAAGCCAATGTGCGCGATAGTCACATACCTACAGATGGTAACCTAACTCCGGGAAGCTCCAACACCGGCGCGCAGCGTCGAAGCTTCGGTAAAACTGTGAGTAAGGGGTTCTAAAAAATCCGTTTCGGTGACATTATTGTTAAATCTGTAAAGGGAGTACTTACAATTTTTACATCATAGGGTGCACGAATCCTCAGGGCATAACAATGATCACTTGAATTCATAATTCGAAGAAGTCTTTGATGGGAAAAAAAGGCTTATTCAGAGCCCTACTCAAACGATTCTTCGATGTAGCAGCGTCGATTCAAAATGGCGAAGAGACGGTACGCATGCGCGGCAGAGCCGCAGAAAGTATGAATATTCATGCTATCGAGCGCCGATCGCTCGAAATGCTGAATATGCACAACTCGAACAAACAGAGTCCTTCTCAACCTCGTGCATATTTGAATCGACGCTGCTACATCGAAGAATCGTTTGAGTAGGGCTCTGAATAAGCCTTTTTTTCCCATCGAAGACTTCTTCAAATTATGAATTCAAGTGATAATTGTTATGCCCTGAGGATTTGTGCACCCTATGATGTAAAAATTGTAAGTACTCCCTTTGCAGATTTAACAATAATGTCACCGAAACGGATTTTTTAGAACCCCTTACTCACAGTTTTACCGAAGCTCCGACGCTGCGCGCCAGTGTTGGAGCTTCCCGGAGTTAATGGTAACCCAGAGGTCTCGCACCGAGGAGGTAATCTGGCCAATCCAGCTGCCACTTATGGTCATTGAGCTTTCTCCCCCGATTTTCACTATTTAGATATAATTTTCTGATTTATAAATCAGATGTAAATTAGGTCTATGTATTGTACTCCTATTTACACTAAATAATAATGATTGACCTATTATACAAATGCGAAATTTGTTGACTTACTTATATGATTTATCCAATTTTTTTCTCCGAACCGTGAAATGTACCGTTCATCCATATCTATGAATGACATCACCCGGCCGATATATTTCCGGGTCAACCTACCAAAACATAGCGAATGGCCAATCAGAGCACTCGTTTCGTATTGGGTTTATGAATATACATATATCACTTGGTTAACTCGTACGTAGCTATAGGACGTTCGAAAAGAAAAAATGAATATTCATTAATTAAAACCAAGATGGATGACAACGAATCATGTCGACTACGAAACTTTCTCGGATTAATCATTAATTTAGGATCTAAATGAGCAAGCTATCGTAAGTCAAAGCCATATTTGTTTGTTAATTTTTATATTTTTATAAGCCTATTGTAATATTGCAGCAAAAGTGCATTTATGAGGATGTAAAGAGTGAAAATCTTGTTGCATATCTCATTCATCCCGGTCCTGCCGAACCGAACCATTTGGTCCACTAGTACGGCATAGGCCGTACTTCAGTCTATGTATAGAGGCGGTCAGTGGAGCCAGATGCAATCTCAGCGGAACCACCGGCGATATCAGAGACTGAAGCTTTCGGTCTAAGCCCTATGGGGCATTGCAAAAAAGTTGTGATTCCCCCTGTGTCTCAGCAGTAGGGCGCTGGTCCAAGAATAAGTAGACTAGGGGGCCGTTTCTCGAAACCGTCATAACTACAAGATCAACGACATCTCGCCACTGTCGCGCAACTTGTCAGCTAAGACCTAAGTGTTTCACGAAGCCGTCTTTGCCAAGATGAGCGACAGCTTCCGCGACAAGCGAGTTGTCACTGCTCCGAACCCGTCATATCTTTTTAATTGCTGTAAAGCGCCATCACAAGTCAGTTTGTTGCCATTCCATGGGCCGCGAAATGGACGATTAGTTTTACTATCATTTTGAGAAAAATATAGACGAGTTCGGTACGTAATTCTCTGGGATGCGAAATGCAAATGTACAAAAGTGAAAATACAAATTATACAGAAACTTTAAAAAGCTGAATATAAACATTAAATCACAAATCATTAAACTATAACATATAAATAAGAGATATAAGAATGTTACACACTGTTTTCCATAGTCGATCCATAGTCTTTTCTTAGGATACCGTCATACCTTTGGGGCCTATGTGCATTATTATTCCCTCTCTAATTACTTCTTCCAAATTATATTTTCAATATCAAATCAATTATATAACGAGTATTTATGAGACTCTAGAATAAAAACTGGCTGAGAAAAGGCATTTTGCCTAAAATTCCTCGTCATAGTAAACAAAAAAGTACGTATTGATAAACTATCACATTACGGTATCCTTCAACCAACGCTCAAAATACACGGGGGCGGTGGGCGATTCGCTCCCGTGAGCTCCATAATCGCCCCCGTCAGGTTGCTCACGGGGGCGATTGCAAAATTAAAAATCGCCCCCGTGGAATTATAAAATAAAGATTATCTTTTCTGATATAACTTTAACACAATATTGAGTATCAATTTTCAAACCTTAAACCAATGAAATGGAACTTAGATGGCGTTATCTCTCCCATCTCTATGAGTATTACCGATATAAAAAAACGGAAGCTCGCACTATATTGTGCGGTCGTCAGCAGTGGCTATACTGCGCCGGTAGTACAGGTTTGCACGCTGACGCCCAATATCTGCTGGAGCTGGAGACGATCACGCAAAGACTGAAATATGCAGAATTTTTTTCGTTGTGAAAAATGTGAATCCTCGGAAATCTGGTGATTCTAAAAGACCAGCAAATTATGTACCTCGACCAGTAAATTAATATCGAGAAGAAGAACAAGACCAAAGATGTTGCAGGGGCGGATCTAGGCGGTTTAGGTGGTTTAACCCTCCTACCCCCCCCCTCCCCCTTGGGCTGCCAAGTGAAAATGTGCATAGAAAAATGCCATCTTGTGTCCAGACCTACACAGTATAGATGTCAGTAGATGCCAGGAAAGCATCACCTACGGGGTTCAAAAGAGCACCCAAAAAATGCTCCGCACGTTAGTAGATGCCAGGAAAATATCACTTACGGGGGTTCAAAATAGCACCAAAAAAATCGCCTCGCCGCTTCGCGGCTCGTGGACGATGCTCCGCATGTTAGTAGATGTCAGGTAAACATCACTGTCTTACGGGGTTCAAAATAGCAACAACAAAAATCGCCTCCCCGCCACACGGCTCGTGGACGATAAATGATAATGATAAAAAACAAGGAGTTTCATGGGTACAAATTCAATGGAAATTTGTATTAAAAGAAGAGCCCCCGTCAGCACTAAAAGAGCCCCCGTGAGAAGGCTCACGGGGGCTCTTTTTTTTTGGGAAGAGCCCCCGTGGACAAAAAATTAATTTGAGCCCTGCCTTCAACTAACTTTTGATTCGACTGTCAAAAAAAAAAACACTCACCGGTTTTTCTTCAATTTAAGAATCTTTACAGAAATATGCAAATCGTTTGATGATGTAAATATGATGACACTATTTATTATTTATTTTAGGAGAATTTACATGTATATATTTCTTTTTGAACAATTTTAGACCCAAAACTTGTTTTGGGTTATTCTTCATAAATCAAATGGATCGTGACAAAGACTATCTTCTTGAGCTGCTAGTATCGCGATATATCGATATCATGTCTGTCATGGCTTTGTGACAAGCGCGTAGCCAGGATATCATTTTAGGGGGTGCGGTAGTGAGCACGCAAAGCGTGCGAATCACTTAAAGAGCGCGCGTAGCGCGCTCCCTAGGGGGGTGGGTGCAGGGAGGGGGGGGTTTCCCCCCTCCCGCGAAAGAAGACGATTCGTTGTACCTTTCTCGACTCATAATCCTTGTCTGAATTCAGTCCGCCCCTCCTGCGCATAGCGCGGAAGCTTTGACGTATTATTAAACAGAGAAGACGATTCGTTGTACCTTTCTCGACCCTTAATCCTTAATTTGAACTCAATTTCCCCCTTTTCCCCCTCCCGCGCGAAGCGCAGAAGTTTTGACGTTTCATTAATTTATTAGAGAAAGAAGACGATTGGATGTACCGTTCTCGACTCTTAATCCTTATCTGTATTCAGTCCCCCTCTTTCGAAGCGCGGAAGCTGTGCATTTCATTAAATTATTAGAGAAAGAAGACGATTCGTTGTTCCGTTTTCGACTCTTTATCCTTAATTTGAACTTTTCGCGCGAAGCGCGGAAGCTTTGAAGTTTCATTAAATTATTAGAGAAAGAAGACGATTTGTTGTACCGTTCTCGACTCCTTTTCCCTTTTTCTTCCTACGTCCTCTTACTTTTTTTCTTCTCTTTCCTCTTTTTTTTTTTTGGCCGGCGTTTTTTTTTTTGGGGGGGGGGGGCGACCGACCGCCCCACCGCCCCCCCCCCCCTGGCTACGCGCCTGCTTTGTGAAACGGTTTATCCACTTCATGACATCTCCGTAGGTCGCCGACAAAGATATGACTGTCATGGAGTTGGTTTCGAGAAACGGCCCCCTGGTCTAGAGTAAAGGAGCCCGTTTTGGGCCACTTAAAGAGAAGGTTGAGTTCTGGGAAGAGGTGAACAATAATTTGTGAGCATTACTCATTCTTAATATGCAAGTGTGGAAGACATTAATTAAGACATGTTCCCTGAAAAGCATGGCTCTTCAAATGCCTTCATATTCTAAATATATGCATGTAAATTCGTAAAAATCGGGGGGCTGGCTTTTTGCGCCACGTGTTCGTGTAGTCCCATATACATCTTTCTGTGCAGGTGTTTGTAACTTTACCAAGACTGGGCCAAATTTCTTATCATTTTGATGATTCCAGAACCTTGCCATACACACAAATTCTTATATGCTAGATGATCAACCTTTTCTTGTCGGTTCCACCAGTGGCGGATCCAGGGGGGGGGGGCCCGGGCCCCCCCCCCTTGAGAAAAAAATCATGTAAAATCACGTGATTTTTACCTTTTGGGGGGTTGGGCCCCCCCCCCTGGCGCTCAAGGGGGGGGTGCAAATTGAAATTTTTTTGAGGACAAAAAAAAAAAAGTGCTCACCCCCCCCCCCCCCCCCCCCCCCCCACTGAGCGACTTTTCGGCCGGCGCGATTTTCAAATTTTCGGGAGCAAAAAAAAAAAAAAAGTTGGGCCCCCTCCCCTAAGAAATCCTGGATCCGCGCCTGGGTTCCACACCGTTTCTTTCACAATGCAATCGCATGACCAGAACTCAACTTCATCTTTAAGACAAAATCCTATTTTTTGGACCCTTTACTTCCTATTTATTATCATTTCTTGTTCAAATCATGAAGCAAATATTATTATTATTTAAACAAAAAATGAATCCCAGAAAAAAATCACAAATTGCCATGACAATATTCATTTCAATTTTCACTGCTTCGGAGTCAGTTATCGGCATAGCGAACCAGTTTTCGGCCGCATGTACAAAGTCAATAGGAAGCGCGTGCGCGCGCCGTGCGTTTCCGCGCTGATCTATAGCACTAGCGGGCGGAGCAGGTATCCTACGCCGGAGCTCCCCGGAGCTCGCCAGGCCGAAAACTAGTACTGCCGTGATCGGCAATTGGAATCTGAATTAGACGGACATATCGTGTGTGCGTCGCGGTGTGCGGCTGCGTTGATTTAATACATGCGATGAGATACTTTTGAGCTTGCGACTAGCACAAAATCGGGCTCTAAATCTGAAAAATACTTGAAATAAAGCTCATTTTATGGTAGAAATAGAGCAAAACAAATTTGAGTAAAATCGAATAACTAATAAGGAAGTTATGATCAAATTTTTAAACAAGTGTGAAACCTGAGGATCTTTAAACATCACTACACAAATTGCCAATTATCCGTTTGTGATGTCATTGCCTCACTATTTGTCAATTACTTTATATATTTTCATCCCATTAATTACCCTTTTAATCCCCCAAAACTTGATTTCCCAATGCCTTTGTCCATGTGATTTGTTTCATATTGCGTGCATGATTTCCTAAAATCTTTTGTGAATTAAATAGAAGATTTGATACTATTTTCTGAACATTTGTTCATGATTTAACAGAATAAAAAGATATCTCTTTATTAAGTGCATCCACGCGAAAACATAGCTAGGGCCTATTAAGTATACTCTTGATATAAATCGGATGCTGGTGTGTGGAAATAAGATATGTAGGTGGAATTATTGGAAATTTATATTATCAATATAAAGAAAACAATTAGATGAAAGGGAGTTAGCAGAGCTACCAAGTATCACGCATTATGCGTGACATCACGCATTTCGAGGGTCTGAAAATGCTCTTACGCACGACGCGCACGCTAGATTTTGAAAAAACGCTATACCTTATACGTGTGTTATACCCTCGCACGCGTGCTCGCGCTCCGAATCATGAAAATGTCACGCATAACGCATTGCCGATCTTTGAACTTGGCGTCTCTGAGTTAGGGAGGCAATGACGCCGCAGACTCGTGAGGGAGCTGCCAATTTGTCTATTGAGTGACTTTCAATTTTTTTATGCCATTACAAATTCATAACTCTCTTATTTTGCTCAAACTTTTTTTGATTGGTTTTCTGCTTCTATTGAAAGTAAGTTATTTTTGGAGTGGACTTTGGAGTGGACTTTGGAGTGATCTTTAAGTATCCTAAGCGCACGTAAGGAGTTTGCTGAAGTTAGGGAACTCTCTGCACCGCATGCGCCTTTATATACTAATCGCTGTTATCGTAAAGTTATCTTAAACTGCACAATACAGGTACATTCAAAACGTGATGTCCACTAGTTCATGCTTCTGGGATGGAGAACCGATGATAAGATGGTGCAATTCGAAAACCTAAATACTGCACAGCACTCATAGATTTACATATATAATAAATGTATGCAGAATATTTGTGTATGACTCCGTTAAAGGGGGAGTAGCATGACGAGACTATGTGTCTTTCCCTTGGCCTGACTCGAGGGCCAATCGAAACCGAAGTGTTAGGAGAAATTCAGTCTGTTTCACAAATGCTAGCGTGAGCTGATCGATCGACCGTTAATCAAGTCCATTCGTTAACTGGCAGTTGTCCAAAAGAAGTCTTAGATGGTGTTAACCAGTATTTACCATGCTACACCCCCTTTAACAAGATAACATGATTTCTTGATTTCAGATAACATCTTTGAAGAATTAGGTAATGGATACCGGTACACGGATCGAGACTTCATATTGACAGAGTGCACAGCAGCAGAGAAAGGTACAGTATGAGGATGGGGTGGAAAAAAGAAATAGATCATACAATCATAAGTGAGAAATTATCAGTTGAATGTAACTTATTACATATCTTTGAAACTTGTCCTTTGAATATGAAATCACTTCTTTCATATTCACCTATCTCTACCCCCTGGGCGTGTATTCATCAACGATACCACAACCCTGAAGTAGACAAATGTCCCCCATCCCCTTCTCGGACAATATCTACCGACAGGGTTATTGCGTAAGAAGAGTAGTTTTTCTGAGAAGTACTTGCGTAGGGAGGGGGGGGGGGAGCTTAAAGTTTGGGGGAAAGTTTGATAATGAGTAATTGTCGAAATTGAATGATTTTTCAGGGTCAGTGCCCTGGCGTTGTCTTCCAAAAGACTGTTTGGGTTAGGAAATTGTTCTTGGATGGAGGTTTGCCTTAAGAAGGGGATATGCTGTCTCGCTAGTGTAGTGGTACGCTCATTTGGGCATCTCATTTGACCTAAAGGGGGCGCTAGAGCCATAGAAGAGCCGGGCTGGGTTGATTTATTGTACGATTATTAGTTTGACTTAGTATACACCTAAAAGTTAAAAAGCATTAATTATGTTTCCAATAGTATGCCGGGAACGGGTAAACAACCAATGGTTTTGAATTCTTGCATTAGATTAAAGTGTTCATTTCGATAAGCACGTTGGAAATGAATTTCTGCATCAAGATGTACAGGTGTTCATTTCCAGTAACACGTCAGACAATAGATTGTTTTGACGGGGATGCGACATTCTCCCGAAGAGATAGACTCCTCCCATTTTTGTCGGTGACCAGTTCAAATCACTCTTATCTATGATGCTTTGTCATTGGTTATAATTAATTAAAGGTATAACTCCTCTCTTAATTGGTCGGATGACCTAAGGGTAATTTTATATATCCCGTCTTGTAATTGGTTGGCTGCGTAAGGGTCCTCCTGGTTGGCTGGGTATATCATGTGATATCTAAGCCTCTTCGGGTGCCGGAGTATTTAAATGCCATGTGCAGGATTTTGTGGTCAGTTTATTTCGTTCCGTTACTACATGTAGTTTTAGTTGAGGTTATTTGAGTTTATTTCATTCCGTTGACATGTTTAGGATGTGCTGCTAGTTTACTGTCGATAGGGCCGCCCAGCCTCTGAGAGAAGCAGCTTATATTTAAAATGTTCTAAAATAATTACTCTTCGTTTGTAAGGATTGGAGCTTCGGCTGACTTACATGTATATAATTACATGTAATAAAGTGGACTTCAACTGTACATGTATATCCGAGCTTCTTTTGTTTTCATTTATGTTTTAACTTGTCGTCTCCAACCCATTAACTGGACCACCACACTAGGATGGTAGTTTTCTATGAAATAGGGGGGGGGGGGGTGTTATCAACCTGATGTGTAGTTTTTACAACTCTCAGATCTTTGTCATGATTAGGAGTTGATTTGTCAGTAATGTTACTTTGTATTTCTTGTTTTAAATTCTTAGATGATCGGCTACATGTAAGCATTATGGAGGAGCATGGATTTGGAATTGCCTATATCAAAGAAGAAGAGGAGGAAAAAGGAATCTTAGAGGAGGCAGATCCTTCTGATTTTAACGTAGGACGGCTTCCCGTTTTAGAAGGCAGTTCTGCCATCTCCTATGACTCCAGCCAAGTTCTACCCAGCGTGGAGAACAGTAGCCAGAGTGAAAGAGAGCTAGATGAATCCATAAATGATCCAACAAATTCTCCTCCAACCCATGATGAAGATTCTACAGGGAAACAGGGATTTGATTGCACCAAGTGTAAGAAGAGATTTTCTGTTGAATCTGATCTTGGATCTCATGTGATGATGTGCTGTGGAAACCTATCTACTCAATGTCCAGTCTGCAAGAAGATTTTCGCGTCAAAGTCGTATATAGAAAAGCACATGAGACTTCATACTGGGGAGAAACCATTTCAATGTGGTGAATGTGGAATGAGATTTACTAGGAAGCACCATCTAGTTCACCACCAGAGAACACACACGGGTGAAAAACCCTTTAAGTGTACAGAATGTGGTAAAGGTTTTATCAAAAAGTCTGACCTAAAAGTTCATTTTAGAAGACATGGAGGTAACGAACCTTTTCAATGCTCTTATTGTGACAGGAAACTGAATTCCAAGAGAGATCTCATTAGACATGAGAGAACGCATACTGGTGAGAAACCTTATCCCTGCTCTTCATGCAGTAAACGATTTCCAAGAAAACAAGAACTTTTGGTTCATGAAAGAATACACTCTGGTGAAAACCCTTTTCAATGCTCTTATTGTAACAGGAAACTGAATTCCAAGAGTGATTTCATGAGACATGAGAGAACGCATACTGGTGAGAAACCTTATCCCTGCTCTTCATGCAGTAAACGATTTCCAAGAAAACATCAACTTTTGAGACATGAAAGAAAAGTACACCTGAAAGCAAAGAGTCCCGAAACGTCCAAAGACTCTAACGATAACAGTGCTGTGTCTTTTCAAAAGGACCTTGATAAACGGAAGACATGCAGTGATAAGAGCTCTTACCAATGTCCTGAGTGCAACAAGAAATTTAAAACAAAGCTGAGTTTCACACAACACATGAAAGAGCATACAGGAGACAAGATCTATCAATGCGGTGAATGCAAGAAGGGTTTCACTTCAGAGTCTGGTCTCAAACGTCATATGAGAATACACACAGGTGAGACGGTTTGTCAGTGTACGTACATTATGTAAAAAGATATTTTCTTCCAAGTAACAGCTTCGGCTTCACATAAGAATGCACACAACTACATTTAGGTCACTGAGCATTTTGAAATGTTTTTTCCAAAAGATATTCATAATATCATGTAGAGGTGTTGTGGCGAAGTGGATAAGTCGTCAGACTTTGAATCACAGGGTCCGCGGTTTGAGTCCCGCCGCGGCACTAATGTCCTTTGGCAAGACATTAACCCTTACTGTACTGGACTGGGGACATTTTCGAACTGCGCCGCAACCGCTTGGAATTTTGAATTGTTGTTTCATGACTTTTTTCCCTCAAGTCTTACGCACATTTTCGAAATCGGATATACCTGTAAGGTGTTACATAACAATTAATATGCGCATGTCATCAAAAATGTGCTATAATTGCATATATTCATGTACAAGCAGAAATGTGAATACAGGTTTAGATGTACAGTATTTCTTCCTATGAATTGATATCAAATTGCTTTTATATATTTCTCAAAGTAACTTGATGTATTCCAGAACAAAAGAATACATTAGAAATAAAACAATAGATATAATAAGAAATAAAAAATAAAAAAATACTAAAGAAAATAAATATTTGAAAATCGCATAAAATTTGCATAAATTATCATTATTAATTACATCAAAATAACTATTTTGTGTTAGAAAAGAAGTTTCATATGAATAATAAGTTTCATTAACATTCAAAAAGTGGAGTCTGACAATTTCTGTAATGATACTAGTTCCCTGTATATTTCCAGATTTGATATTCATAAATGCGTAATTTGCGTATTCATAATTTATGCAAATTAACCTATGCATTCTCAAATATCATAAAGATAATGTAACCTCATGAATTTGAGATGAAGGAAACATATACATGTACATGTATTTAATACATTTTCAACATTCTTCACAAGTCTACAGACAAATACATGTATGTAGAGTTTTCTGTAAAATGCATAACATTAGCATTTTGCATAATTAATTAGGCTATAACGACAAAAATTTGCATACTAGGAAAAAACTAATTATACCATCTTGTTCCTTACGTAAATATCTACAAACATGCACATTTTCGTATTCATCGGACTTTCGACGGCCGAGATCATGGGGGGGGGGCCTCCCAGGGCCCCCTCCCCCTAGTCACGAGGTGCTCAAAATAGCCCAGTACAGTAAGGGTTAATCTACATGTACACTTGCCACTCTCCACCCAGGTGTTAAACAGTTATCATTCAGCCAGTCTGTAGTTCACTATTTGTGCATGTCGAGTAAAGGTCATTTGTGGCAATTACAAATGACCTGTATAGGCTCTCATAGTGTATGGGCTACGGTGGACACACCAGTATGAATTATATTGTTGAACAGGTAGCATGTCTATCAAACTACAGATGCACATGCACACACTGTTTAGGGTCTTTTGTACCACCCACTAATTAGAAACTACTTTTGATATCTATAATTTGTTTTCTTGCATATAATATGTCTTCCTTTTTCCACCAGACATTTTTTGCAGCTCAAAAAATGCTTCAGATGATTTAGCATATCAGGAGAAGATATCAGAATCCCAGTTATCAGAGGATGGATGTTCAGAGGATGACAGCGAGGGAGCGTCTGAAGGAGAACATTTAGAGAAGGAAGATCATGAGGATTCTGAATCAGGATGGCTTCCAGCTTCAGAAGGTATCTCTGCCGTCTCTCAAGACTCCAGCCAAGTTCTACCCAGGTTGGAGAACAGTAGCCAGAGTGAAAGAGAGCTAGATGAATCCATGAATGATCCAACAAATTCTCCTCCAACCCGTGAAGAAGATTCTACAGGGAAACAGGGATTTGACTGCACCAAGTGTAAGAAGAGATTTCCTGTCGAATCTGATCTTGGATCTCATGTGATGACGTGCTGTGGAGACCTATCTACTCAATGTCCAGTCTGCAAGAAGATTTTCAGGTCAAAGTCGAATCTAGGAAAGCACATGAGACTTCATACTGGGGAGAAACCATTTGAATGTGGTGAATGTGGAATGAGATTTACTAGGAAGCACCATCTAGTTCACCACCAGAGAACACACACAGGTGAAAAACCCTTTAAGTGCACAGAATGTGGTAAAGGTTTTATCAAAAAGTCTGACCTAAAAGTTCATTTTAGAAGACATGGAGGTAACGAACCTTTTCAATGCTCTTATTGTAACAGGAAACTGAATTCCAAGAGAGATCTCATTAGACATGAGAGAACGCATACTGGTGAGAAACCTTATCCCTGCTCTTCATGCAGTAAACGATTTCCAAGAAAACAAGAACTTTTGGTTCATGAAAGAATACACTCTGGTGAAAACCCCTTTCAATGCTCAGAATGTGGTAAAGGATTTCCAAGAAAACAAGAACTTTTGAGACATGAAAGAAAAGTACACCTGAAAGCAAAGAGTCCCGAAACGTCCAAAGACTTTAACAATGACAGTGCTGTGTCTTTTCAAAAGGACCTCGATAAACAGAAGACATGCAGTGATAAGAGTTCTTACCAATGTCCTGAGTGCAACAAGAAATTTGAAACAAAGATGAGTTTCACGCAACACATGAAAGAGCATACAGGAGACAAGATCTATCAATGCTGTGAACGCAAGAAGGGTTTCACTTCAGAGTCTGGTCTCAAAGGACATATGAGAATACACACAGGTGAGCTAGGAGGTACTGCATGTAAAAATACATTTTCTTCCAAGCACCAGTAAAAACTTTGGCGTAACATAAGAATGTACACAACTACATTTAGGCCACTGCCTTGAAATGTTCTTCCCCCAAAATAGTCATGAATTTACATTAAGTCTTGGGGAGGTGATACATGTACTAAAAAAAAGTATAATGGGGATGGTTTTCATTAGTTGGACTAGAAACAGTTTTTAAAGTGGTCGGGTTAGGATATGCAGAGTATCATCATTCTGACTCATTTCCAAACGTTCCGTTTATGTATCTCCTAAAAGAATAATTGGTTACAATACAAGTGGCATTGTGTTTAAAGGGCTTTATTTCCCAGGGAATCCCTATTCATGCAGAGTCAGTAATATTTTAATCCTTACTAATAATACATTTTAGATGAACCAGTGAACAGCAGGGAGGAGCAGCTAAAGGTTCAAATTGAAAGTGGATTTGAGATTTACCTTATCAAAGAAGAAGAGATAGAAGAAACTTCACTTCAACAGAATGGTGAGAAAGTTATATTTTACAATTAGGCACAGGGAGGCCTGAATAGAAAACATGTGAAGAGAGAACCGCTTTGGAAATTTTAAAGTTAAGTGACAATCATGTAATATTAGATTGGGATAGAGGAGATGAAATGGCAACACCAATAAATAAAACAAATTGAAAAATACATTTATAGTTACATGTAGAGTAGAACTAGGAAGTTACAGGTTTTTGCTCTGTTTTTGACTTGCATTTACAAAAAAGGGGCAATAAAGATGTTGTCTTTTTTAAATTTTGCAGTAATACCAATTAAAATGTAGAAGAAAAAAGAACAGTTATCATTCAGCCAGTTTGTAGTTACAATTTGTGCATGTGCAGTAAAGGTCATTTGTGCCAATTACAAATTGCCTGTATAGTGTATGGGCTATGGTGGACACACCAGTATGAATTACATTGTTAAACAGGTAGCATGTCCATCAAAACAGATGCACATACACACACTGTTTCAGATCTTTTGTACCCCCCACTGATTAGAAACTACTTTTGATATCTATAATTTATCTGATTGCATATATGTACATATATGTCTTCCTTTTTCACCAGATGTTTGTTGCAGCTCTAAAAACGCTTCAGATGATTTGGACTGTCAGGAGAAGATATCAGAAGCCCAGTTATCAGAGGATGGATGTTTAGAGGTTGACAGCGAGGGAGCATCTGAAGGAGTACATTTAGAGAAGGAAGATCATGAGGATTCTGAATCAGGATGGCTTCCCGTTTTAGAAGGTATCTCTCCCGTCTCTCAAGACTCCAGCCAAGTTTTACCCAGCATGGAGAACAGTAGCCAGAGTGAAAGAGAGCTAGATGAATCCATGAATGATCCAACGAATTCTCCTCCTACCTGTGATGAAGATTATACAGGGAAACAGGGATTTGACTGCACCAAGTGTAAAAAGAGATTTTCTGTTGAATCTGATCTTGGATCTCATGTGATGACGTGCTGTGGAAACCTATTTACTCAATGTCCAGTCTGCAAGAAGATTTTCACGTCAAAGTCGAATCTAGGAAAGCACATGAGACTTCATACTGGGGAGAAACCATTTGAATGTGGTGAATGTGGAATGAGATTTACTTTGAAGCAACATCTAGTTTACCACCAGAGAACACACACGGGTGAAAAACCCTTTAAGTGCACAGAATGTGGTAAAGGTTTTGTCGAAAAGTCTGTCCTAAAAGTTCATTTTAGAAGACATGGAGGTAACGAACCTTTTCAATGCTCTTATTGTAACAGGAAACTGAATTCCAAGAGAGATCTCATGAGACATGAGAGAACACATACTGGTGAGAAACCCTTTAAGTGCTCAGAATGTGGTAAAGGATTTTCCCAAAAAAGTAACCTAACATTGCACTTTAGAAAACATGGAGGTAATGAAGCTTTTCAATGCTCTTATTGTAGCAGGAAACTGAATTCCAAGAGTGATTTCATGAGACATGAGAGAACGCATACTGGTGAGAAACCTCATCCTTGCTCTTCATGCAGTAAACGATTTTCAAGAAAACATCAACTTTTGGTTCATGAAAGAACACACACGGGTGAAAAGCTCTTTCTATGCTCAGAATGTGGTAAACGATTTTCAAGAAAACAAGAACTTTTGAGACATGAAAGTAAAGTACACCTGAAAGCAAAGAGTCCCGAAACGTCCAAAGACTTTAACAATGACAGTGCTGTGTCTTTTCAAAAGGACCTCGATAAACGGAAGGCATGCAGTGATAAGAGTTCTTATCAATGTCGTGAGTGCAACAAGAAATTTAAAACAAAGATGAGTTTCACGAAACACATGAAAGAGCATACAGGAGACAAGATCTATCAATGCGGTGAATGCAAGAAGGGTTTCACTTCAGAGTCTGGTCTCAAAGGACATATGAGAATACACACAGGTGAGATGGTTTGTCAGTGTACTGCATGTAAAAATACATTTTCTTCCAAGTACCAGTTAAAACTTTGGCTTAATTCACATAAGAATGTACACAACTACATTTAGGCCACTGCCTTGAAATGTTTTTTCCCCAAAATAGTCATGAATATACATTAAGTCTTGGGAAGGCGATACATGTAGGTGTTCTACTTAAAAAAGTTAAGTGACAATCAATTATTTTTTGATTGGAATGGAGGAGGCAAAATGTCAACACCAAAATTACCCCCAAAAAGTACATTTATAGTTGGAGTGGAACTATGAAGTTACAGGTTTTAAAATCAGCATGCCATTGCTCTGTTTTTGATTTGCATTTAAAAATATCAATATGTATGTATGTATGTACTAGATTTAGGAAAATCAAGGTTGACGCATTCTCGATCGCCGACTGAGACGACGTAACGCATGCGCAGTGCCTTAAAATGACGTCTACATGTTGCAGTCAAAGCTGTCGACTGCAAATCTAAAAGTCCCTAATATCTTCTTCTACTTGTACATTGTCAACTTTACTCTTTATATGCCACATAAATAATCTTTGTGTGCCACATTATGTTTAGCATGGGATAAATATACCAAAGGCTTCTAGTTCTTAAACTGTTTCCAGTCCATGATTAATCAATAATGGTGTTTAAAAGTTTGTCATGGAGCTAATCATGACCAGACAAGGATGATTTGCAAAGCCTTTGTGTTGCGTAAAGCAATACTTCCGTCCATTGGTGCCTATTGTGCAAAATTGCACTTGTGACAAACGAGCGACCATGCACAGAGGCGAACATAGCAATGTAAGTGTCAACTATCATCATCATCATCATCATCATCACCATCATCATCATCATCATCATCATCATCATCATCATCATCATCATCGTTTGATGTTTATCAGGATCATTGGTGCCTATTGTTTTGTGACAAAAGAGCACCCATGCACAGAGGCGAACATACTGGAACATAGCAACTGAAGTATCAATTATCAACATCATCATCATTTAATGTTTATCAGTATCATCATCCCTTTTCTCTCCTGTCTCAAGGTCGGTCCAAACAAGATAGCGCTCAAGGTAAATGACTTTGAGGAGATTGAGTTCAACCCCAAGCAGCTTGTGAGGGATATCTGTCGACTCTACATCAATCTGGGCCACGAGCAGGGCGACCGCCGAGGATGAGGTTAATTACTCAGCCATGCTTTTCATCGGAGCAGAGAAGGTGCTTGATAAGATCAGTGTGTCTAGGGATATGATTGAGAAGATGAGGGAGTTTGCTGAAAAGGTCAAGGTGAGATTAGATCAATTATTTTAAAGGTAAAGACCAGTTATGGTCATGCGATTGCATTGTGAAAGAAACGTTGTGGAATCGATCAGAAAAGGTTGATCATCTAGCATCTAGCATCTGCAAAGTTCTGGAATCATCAAAATGATAAGAAATGTGGCCCATTCTTCGTAAAGTTACAAGCACTATACACAGAAAGATGTATACGGGACTACCCTATATCTCTCACAGACCATGAGAGAAACAAATTTACCAAATATATGAATTAGTAGGCGGTTTCCCGGCAAATTTTTTATCATCATGTATTAGTCAAAACATATTCTTTCACATGATTGGTAATGAGAGCTTCCATTTCATTTTTTGAAATTGGGGCGTTTCCAATACTGGTCTTTACCTTTAAGTCCCATCTGCCGCAAACCTCAATTTATTTTAATTTTCATAATTTCAAACCTCACAGTATACATAGGCGCTTTTATACAACACCTACGTGGATCCTTGTCATTTGATTGGAGGATTGTTGGTCACATGATATTCAATAGATGTTATATTGCACGGGCGTGCATTTTTGATTATATGGGCCATTCCATGAGAAGAAGGACATGACATCAAAAAAAGAAATGTACCTCTTATGTTAATTCTTTGATTTATCACTAACCTTATGCCATGGATGTTCATAAAACATTAGGGCCTTTCAAATTCAATACAATTTTTTTTTCATTTTTGTTGATTTCCTAAGATCTCAAACTATCATCAAAAACGTACATGTGGGACTGTAGCTGAAAAAAAACAATTTATTGCAGATTACACAGGATTCTTGTAATATTTTTTCCCGAAAATTTCGCTAAATGGAAAAAGATGAATATATTTCCATATTCTAAGGGGTCCTGTGATATTTAATCTATTACATAGGGGTGAAAATGGCCTCCGGACAAAATGTAACGCGAGTTACCGTAACGTGAGTTACCGACATATTTGCTTCCTGCATTTTACAAGTCCATTGTTTCTTATCTTTAATATTGTGATCTTATACTAGTAAGTCACAACCTACTATCAAATTAAAGTAGGAAAGATTTTGTCAAGATTGTGTAGTATGAGGAGAAAAGAGGGTCTCGTAGAATTGACCATGTCCTTTTTTTGTAACGCGAGTTACCGAAATTCAATAATCCAAGAATCTAAAAATGTTTGTTCTTCAATTTTCTTTTTTGTTTCATTCAGTTGTTCTATATCTACCCTGTCCATGTTTGAAAAAAGTATCTTGTAGATCCTAGCAGTTCTAAAGATATAGGCACATTATCGTGTCAATGTACCCATTAAGTGTAACGCGAGTTACCATGGAATGGCCCATATGCAGAGTGCATTTTTGTTGCCTCTCTGCCGTGCGCGTATCCCTGTGTGTATCTGACGCGAGGGCAATCTGAATGTAATCAAGAAGGCTTGACTCCAACTTTAATAAATATAAGAAGTAAAGCATAATTTGTTGATTAACGTTCTATTAGATCTTCTTTGATGTTGTATAAAACAAATAATGAATGTTTTTCATTCGTTCAATAGCGCAAATATTTTCATTCGTTGAAAGATTAACGCTAATTCTATTCAACTCCGCTGACGCCTCGTTGAATAGAATGTTAATCTTTCAACTCGTGAAAATATTCGCACTATTGAACTCATAACCATTCATTATTTATATAATATACTACATAATCCACCAACTTCATGTTTAAGAGCTACGTGTTTGTATTTGTTTAACTACCTGTGTGGAATGCCCTTCATTGTGGATTTTCATAATAACAATCTTTCTGAATTATTACAAAATTATCCTGTCACCTCACACTATAATACAAGAAACTAAAATGCAATAGTAATCACAAAAATGAGCTAAGCTTCAGGCATGAATGGTGCTGTATGGAAGTCTTCAACAATTGTTTGAATAATAATTGAGATTTGAAACGATACCCATGTATCATGTCATTTTTATTTCCCCCCCCCCCCCCCTCCAGGCTCTGAGTGAGACCAATGAGATGGAACAAGAGATGTTTGCAGATGCTCCTGATGAGTTCATTGACCCCTTGACCTTCAACATTATGGAAGACCCTGTGTCGCTTCCCACTTCAGACATGAACATCGATAGGTCAACGATAGCAAGGCATTTATTGAGGTTAGTCCAAACTTTGAAGTTTGAAGTTTATGTGTTCCCATTAACACAAAAAACAATTCAGATTCATATAACAGGGACGCCAGTTTTCAGGCAAAGGCCTGAATTCAGGCCCTGGCAATTTATTTTCAGGCCATAGTTTTTGTTTATAGCTCGTTCTTGGTGATTTTCAGGCAATTTGATCATTTCTAAATGGCATCCCTGATACTAAAAAACCGTTTAGATAACTTACATGAAGTTAAATGTACAGTTAATGGCAAGGTGTTTCGAAGGGAGTGTAGATAAAACAGGCAATATAAAAACGTTAAATGTGAGGAGCCTAAATAAAAAATGTGATACTTACGTAATGGAACCGGAAATCCCTCTATATTTGCCTTCCCTGAAGTGGTAGCGATGTCGGTAAAATACTCTGCCTTTTATAACTTTCTACAAAGTTTGGCTGGGTGGAAGCAAAACTGAAAACTGAGAGATACATGATTTTAAAAAAAGCTGATTTTGATTTTTGATTTTTTGATTAGATTTTTTTTAAATAAGTTGAGATCACTATTCATTTGGAGATATGAAGTTTTCTTTCATAACAAGAGCTCACTGATAATAATTAAAAATTAACATATATTTTCTTTGTTATTTTTGCTGCTTTATCTGTAGTGATCAAATCGACCCATTCAACAGGAAACCGCTAACCATGGAAAAAGTACGATCAAATCCAGATCTCAAACTTCAGATTGAAACGTGGAAACAGGAACAGAAGAACAAGAGAAAATAACATCAGCAAAAACATCAACTTCATACATGTACTCTCTTTCTTCTAATGGTTTAATAATTTGTTTAAATGGTAAACATCACTGACTTCTTTTTGTTTGAAATGTTTCTTTTATACCAACAACATTTCTTATCAAAGCTTGTCAAAATGAACTATTTTTTAAATGATGTCGTTGCACAAACTAGTATTTAAAGGTGGGGTGAAATCCAAATATTAGTTGATTCCTGTTGATGTGCAGGGCTGCCTACAACTCATAATTTGTTATTCAATCAAACATCTAAATATTTGTCATAGATTTTTGACTGAGCTGGAGGAAGTTGCATACCACTGTCTGTTGTTAGCTCATTAATGACTGACAGATGATGTCAAAAGATGAATGAGATCTGGAACATTTGTTTAGGGTGGAGCTAATAGCAGGTCTCAGAAAATTATTTTTAAAAATAATTAAAATCTATGAAATATATTTAGATGTTTGAATAACAAAATATGAGATGTATGAAGCCCTGCACATCAACAGGAATCAACTTTAATATATTTGGATTTCACCTGACCTTTAATATTGACCTTCTTCCTGCCATGTTGTGCAGCTGCATGTGATAGCCACCTTCATGCTTCTGTATGGATTTGATTTTAGAAAGAGATTTCTATGTAAAGAAAATGTTGAGTTCTGGGAAAGGTGACAAATAATCATTTGTGAGTTTTTTCTTTCTTTTTATGTGATTTTGGAAGAGTATCATAGAGAAAATGTCCCTTGAAAAGGAGGGTTCTTCAAATGCCCTCATAT